CTTCTCTATGGGAGCAGATGTGGCACAAACACGCGCGTGTGTGCGTGCGTGCGTGCGTGTGTGTGACTGGGGTCGGAGTGCCGCCTCGGATCTGCTTGGTCAACCAGCCCCAGCTTCCTGCCTTTCTCCACCGACCCACCAGGGGGCGCGCTCGCCCAACAAGTGCTGGGCACCTGCCCCCTTCTCCCAGAACCCACCTTCCACAGCCTCCACCTGGCGCCACTGCGTTCAATTCTCCTCGCCCCTTCCCCCGCGGGATCCACCCCAGGTCCTTGGTACATGCTCTGTCTGGCTCTGCTTGTTGTTACCACTCCCTGACCCACCCACAGTTGCTCCGCAGCCCCCACCTCCACTTCCTCTGCCCGCTTTTTTTTTTTTTTGCTTTTTTGGGTCACACAGGGGTTACTCCAGCGATGCACAGGGGTTACTGACTCTGCACTCAGGAGTTACTCCTGGCGGTGCTCAGGGGACCATATGGAATGCTGGGAATTGAACCCAGGTCGGCCGCGTGCAAGGCAAATGCCCTACGCCCTACCCGCTGTGCTATCTCTGCAGCCCCTCCTCTGCCCGCTTTTATCCCCCCAGGTCCCTCTTAAGCCAGTTCCTGCCCTGGGTCAGAGACAGGGCTGATGAGGTTGTGTGTCCTCAGGACCTCATGGGCCTTCCCTGGGTCTCTGCCCTCTGCAGGCTAATGGGAACTGGAGAGGTGAGGGAGGGTTGGGAGTGAGGAGCACTGTTGTCATCACAGCAGGGGGTGGGGGGGGATCCTGGCCTCAGTTGCTCAGTCATGCCAATTTGGCAGGTCATCCAAATCTGCGAGTTTTTTTTTGTTTTGTTTTTGCTTTTTATTATTATTATTATTATTATTTTTTTTTGCTTTTTTGGGTCACGCTCGGGCATTGCACAGGTTGCTCCTGGATCTGCACTCAGGAATCACTCCTGGCGGTGCTAGGGGGACCATATGGGATGCTGGGAATCGAACCCAGGTCGGCCGCGTGCAAGGCAAATGCCCTACCCGCTGTGCTATCACTCCAGCCCCCTGTTTTTGCTTTTTGAGTTACACCCGGCGATGCTCAGGCGTTACTCCTGGCTCTAGGCTCAGGAATTACTCCTGGCAGTGCTTGGGGGACCCTATGGGATGCTGGGGATCAAATCCAGGTCAGCCGTGTGCAAGGCAAACGCCCTACGCCTACCCGCTGTGCTATGGCTCCACCCCCCCCCCAAACTGCTTTTATTTCCCGAGCTCTGGTAGAGGGTAGGGGCAGAGTTAGGGGCCCCTGCAGTAGGGGCTGGTGGCTCAGGGTAGTGACAAGTACAAAGGGTGAGGGTCATCTCCTAATGAGACACTGAGGTCCACTAGGGGACATGGACACAGGGACATCCCGAGGCCCCGGGGAGCTGCGTTCACTGAGGCATATGTGTGTATGTGGGGGGTCAGATTACCCTGACCTTCTCCCCAACACCATCTGATCAGAGGAGAATGTTTCCTGCAGGAAATCTGACTGCTGGGCAAAGAGTGAGCTCCCCGTCACCAGGGGCATGCAAGCGCCCGGGGTCAGCAGGGGGCAGGGGCAGCTGCAGTCTGGTGCTGGTCGGACACAGGCCCCAGACAGCCCCAGAACAGACATTCCTCTGCTGGGCGCCGACCGCTCCTTCCCTGGGAAATGCGAGCTGGCTGGCCCGGTGGACTGCATGTTTTTCCAGTGGCTTCTTCGTCCACGGCCTGACCACAACACACATTCCACCGGGCTGGTCATTTCCACTGTTTGTGTCGGTCGGGGCCAGCAGGCGGGCGTGGAGCAGCCTGGAGGGAGCCCAGGGACCTCGCAGCAGGTTGGGGGAGTGACCCCCACTCCCCCCACACCAGGAGCCCCGTGCAAGGCTCTCGGCTCTCACGTGCAGACACTGGGGTGCGACTAGGCCTGGTACACAGACCCGGCCGTGGCCAGGCTGGCTTAGGGCAGTAGCACCCCCAGGTGTCCTCAGTCCTGGCCCAGCTGGGGAGAGGCAAGGATGCTGCTGGACGGGGCAGCACTGGGCCTTCCCTCCCCTGTGCCTGCTTGCTGACTGGGACAGTGAAGGGGGAACAAGCACAGAGTCTGCCTGATGTGTTGGTGTGATCCAGCCCAGGCAGAGCAAGTATCCAAAGCCCTGACATCTCCTTCCATCCCTCCTGAATACACAGGACTCTATGTTAGTGATAAAAGCTCCCTAGGGGTTTCTTCTTGAGGGACACCACCCCCCGTCCCCAAAAAACAGAGCTCAGTGTTAGCAGTCCAAACCATTGGACCTGAGGCTTCCAAGCTCCTATTCATCCGGCAAAGCCCCCTCTAGAATGCCCCTTTCTCTCAACAGTTATCTCTAGACACTCTTCTGGAATTTCCTATTTTCCCCAGCCCCTTGGGGCTCCATATTCACCCCACTGTTTGAGGGGGTGGGTATGCCTGGTCCTGTCTTATTTTTAGGATGGGGCCCTTGAGAACTAGTCTAGAGTTGGGTGTGGAAAAGCACATCTGTATTCACAGGTCTGCACATGGGTGTGTGTGTGGGTGGGTGGAGTGAACAGCCAGGCAATATTGGGCCCCCAGGGGCTGACAATCTTTAGGAAAGCAAAGTGGGATGTGACCCCTGAGCTCTGTCTCATGCTTAAAGCCTCTGCTCCCCTAGGGCTGCAGGCTGAGCCCTGAGTCGGTGCACGCCCCCCATAACCCCCCCCCCCCCGTCCTGGGGGCCCTTGCCAGGCCGCCGTGTCTCCGTCCTGGAGGACATACCTGAGGTTTGGCAGCGTCAGGCCTGGCTGGGCCCCGAGGCCAAGTCAGCAGAAAGGGGGCTGGGGTTTCCCAGGAGAGGCATCAAGCCCCCTGCACCCCCGCGGCCTCCCACCTCTCCCTGCAGCCCCCTCCCCTGTGCAGGGCCGGAGGATGCGCTCTCTGTTTCCAGGGTCTGCGGAGGGGCTCAAAGGTGGGGCTGAACTGACCGGCGCGGGTGACCCCCAGGGAAGCTGCGGAGTTCAGGGGGGCCGTGGTCCCTTGTGTCCATGTCGCTATGCGATGCCGCATGTGTCCAGCCTGTAATGGGCTGGGATGGGGGATGGGGCCAGCCACACAGGTGACCAGCAAAGTAGCGTGTGGCCAGTGTAACAGGGACAGTCTGAGCTGCGAAGGGTCTGGACTCCGGCTCCCAGCGGCCCAGGTTCCCCAGCTTCCCGCCACCGACCCCCGTGGGCCCCGGCCCTGCGCCTGCCCTGCCAGCTTCGTCTCCGCCTCCTGCTGTTTCCACAAGCCGAGCCCAAGCACCCGCCCCTCCGCCCGACCGAGCCAGGCTCCACGCCAGCGTGGGGGTCTGAATCTGGGTCATGCCCAGCTCCGGGCTGATGAGAGAGACAGACAGAGCCGGGGAAGTGGTGGGCGGTCACGCCAGGTCCGAGAGGTCACCCGGAGCCAGCGCTGCTTGGCCAGGCCAGGAGGCCGGGGAGGGGACAGGGCCCTGGGTCGTGGCCATGTGGGAGGGGACAGCCCCCCCCCATTATGTAACCAACTCCTATTCCAGCTTCTGATCACCCTTTGTGGGTCCCAGTGCCTGCGGGGGTCCATGGACCCCTCTGGTCAGCCCGGGCGCCATGTACACCTCACCTCCACGCCCCCTCCTGCTCTCTCCTGGAATGTCCTTCTGGCTTCACCGACCTGCAAAACTCCTACACATCCTCCGAAGCCTGCCCACACTGTCCCTGTGTGCTGCGGGGATCCCCTGAGCTCCTGCTTTGAGCCCCCATGATTAAGCTGGCGTGCAGGGAGCTGAGGGGGCCAGCGGGCTTGCACCCAGTGAGCAGTGCTGAGCACCCTCCCACTGGATTCCGTTTTGAAGATGCGGCTCTGACCGACTCCCCCCCCCCCCCCCCACGGCTCCGCTCGCACCCAGCACTAGGGGTTTCGAGAACCTCTGCTCCTAAAATCATAGAAATCTGCAAGGCATTGGCCAGGCTGGCCCTTCCCTGTGACCTGAGCTGACCCCAGATCTATCAGCGGGGGGGCTCCCACCCCCCTTTCCCTCCCTGAAGCTCGGGTGTGGAGTGCTGAAGTGAGCAGAACGAGGCCCACGGCGGCCTGGAAGCCTTTTGGCTCAATGGCTAAAACCGGGTGGGGGGCCTTGGAGCCCCGTGTTCCTCCTCTGGCAGTGGGTGGGGTCCGTGGAGTGTCAGCAGAGATGGGGGCCGTGTCCAGACCTCTAGCAAGGTGGGGAACAGGCGTTGGGCTAATGGTCACCCAACCCTACCCCGGAACGAGGGGTCAGTCCTGCCCTGAGCCCACAGCCTGGGCCTGGCAGCTGCCGGTGCCAACACTTTCTCCACGAAAAGTATTTGGCCCAGGGGCCTGACACCTCATCAGCTGCTAGAAGCCAGCCCCTATGCCGCGGGGGGAGCCCCCTGCCCTGAGGCTGCAGGGTTCCTGCCACACTCCATCTGATCTCTGCTTACTCGGGTACCCAGAACCCGGCATCCATGGAGTACCCCAGTCTGTCCCACAGCGCCTCCCACCCAGACAGAGGACAGCGACGCTGGGAAATGAAGCATCTTTAATGAACTCCCTATCCCGGCCTTCCCGAGGGGGGTCTGAGCACCACATGTGAGAATGACCAAGCCACAAGCACCAGTCCAGAAGCCCCTGCCAAGCCCCTCCAGGGCCCACTCCCCTTTCCCCAGTCTCCAGGCTTCCCACAATAAATAACCCCAAGGAAGAGTCGTGTGCCAAGGGCCGCAGCACTCATGGCCCCAGGACCATCAGGCTGAAGGTCAGGTCAGGGGTGCCCTAGGCCGGAAGCAGCCCCAGTGGGGCACCTGCCGGGACGGGGGTTTATCGGGGTCCCTAGCCCTTGATCAGCCACGTATTGTCATACGGGTGCCGACTCTGTCCATCAGGCGCCTCAGATCTAGCCTTGATCAATAGGGTGAGGGTGCCAGTGGGGGTGGGGGTGAGCCCGAGGATTGGAGTGCAGCCCCTCCCTCACGGCCGGGCCCTGCCCTGGCGCGTGCGTGGGGACCCCGCATCTCGGGTCTGCGTGCGGCCCATCTCCCTGCGGATGTCCCCGAGCGCAGAGGCAGGGGATTCCAGGAGCCTCTGGAAGAGGCTGGGTCTGCCCGCAGGGGGCTCTTTGCACTGGAAGGTGACGGCGGTGCCCGCGTCCGCTTTCATTTCCCGGGAGAAGCCGTCGGAGGAGCCATCGAAGCAGCGGCCGATGGCGATCTCCTTGGCCAGCCGGGGGCTCTGGTCAGTGACCGTGTACACCCCATAGTTGTGACCCAGTGGGTCCAGGGGGGCCAGCATGGCGAAGGAGGTGAGGTCATCAGTCGGTGCGGTGGGTGGGTGCCGGGCTAAGTAGTCCTGGAGGAGCGAGTTGACGGCCACGCGGCGGCAGCTCCCCTGGGGCGTCACGGTGACCAGCGTCCTGTCCACCTGGCGCTGGTCGAACAGCATCCCGCCGCACTTGAACTCCACGCAGGCGGCCGAGGTGCCGGAGCGCTGGGGGTCGCGCACGCTCCGGCTGTCCCGCAGGCCGTAGAGCTGCCCGCGGGTGCGGGGGTGGCTGCCCCCCGCGTTGTGGGAACGCACCATGTACTCCTGGGGGCCCCGCAGGCGCACCTTGAGGAAGCAGGCGCGGAACTCCTGCGGGTTGGGCCACCAGGCCAGCAGGTCCCCCGCCCAGGAGGCGGGCGCGCCCTCGCGGAACGGGACCACGTTGTACTCGTAGCGGTCGGCCTCGACTCGCGCGAAGCGGAAGTGGCCGTCGGTGACCGGCGCGTCCTGGCAGTCGCGCAGCCGGCGCCAGGGGTACACGGGCCCGTGCGACTCGGAGGGCTGGCCGGGCCGGGGCTTGGCGAGGTTGATGCGAATCCCGTTGCGCTTGTAGGCGGGGTCGTCGTGGTCGGTGCGCTGGTAGCCCAGACGGTCCAGATAGGGCTGCGCCACTCCGACGGCGCGCGCCGGGCGCGCGGGGGGCGGCTCCAGCTCCTCGCCCCCCAGCGCGGCCGTGATCAGCGCCGTGTAGGCGTCGGGCCGCTCGGCGTCGCAGAAGGCCGGCAGGCAGGCGCCGTTGGGGCCCGTGATGGCGCTGTCGAAGCGGCCCCAGGCGCGGGGGTTGGCCTCGAAGCCCGGCGCGGGCTCCAGGTTGACCAGCGTCACCACCACGCCCTCCACCTGCTCGTTGGCGTTGAACTTGTCGTTGCCGTAGGCGCGCACCTTGACGAAGCAGCGCCGGCGCTCGGGCACGTCCAGGTTGAAGAGGCGGCGCTCGCGCACCTCCACGCTGCCCACCAGGAACACTCGCTCCTCGCGCCGCGCGCGCGCTCCCCCCACCGCCCCCACGCCCTGCCGCTGGAAGCCGCCCTCCTCCTCCCACAGCCCCGTGTCGGGGTTCAGCGACCACAGCTGCAGCGCCTCGGCGTGGCCCGCCATGTGGATGTGCTCGGCGTCCACGCGCACCCCCACCGGGCCAGCCTGTAGCTGCTCGGCGGCGCCTGGCGCGCGGAGGTCCACGGAGAACATGCCGTAGGTGCGCAGCGGCGCCAGCTCCCCGTCCCGGTCCATGAAGCGCAGGTCGCTGGGCGCCGCGGCGGCCGACGCCAGGTCCCGGGGGTCCACGAACGTCACACGGGCCTCGACGGTGCCCTCGTAGGCGCGGCCCTCGGCGGTGCGGAAGGCCCCGGGCGGGAAGATGAGCTCGCCCAGCGGGGCCTGGTCCGCCAGCTCCCCCAGCGCGATGGTGTTGCTCTGGACTGGGTCCAGAAGCACCGGGGTGTGCTTCCGCATGGCCTGCACCACGTGGTACACTCCGGCCCCCCGAGGGTCGAAAGGCAGGACCCGGACCGTGTCCACGAACTCGCCACTGGGGTCCACGAACGTCACCACCAGCCGCTGCGTGGAGGGTACCACCTCGATGGTGAAGTCGCCTTGGTAGGAGGCAAAACCCAGGGGTTCCCGGCCCAGTAGGATCCGGGCAAAGCGCAGGGGCTCCCCGGAGTCGGCGGCCACCACGCGGCCGCGCACCAGCCCCCGCGGGGGCAGGCACTTCTGGCAGCCGCACTCGGCCACCACCTTCACCGGCAGGACTGCGCCGGCGCAGGTGACGTTCCGGCTCTCCAGGCGCCGCACGGAACAGCAGCGCGAGCCCGGGTCCCCGCACCGCTGGCCAGAGCCCGATGGGTCGGGACAGAGGGTGTCGGGGCAGAAGCCCACGTCCACGTAGGCGGGGCCGCCGTTGGGCTGGCCACAGTCGTCAGGGAGCTGGACCAGGTGCTCCCGGGGCCGCGGGTCGCAGGCTGGTTCTCCCGGCGCTGGGGAGTTGGGGAGGGCAGGGCATCAGCGGGGCCGCAGGGCGCAGGGCTCTAGCCCACACTAGGACTGGGGTCTCCCTGGGGGTCTGCTTTGGGGTGCTCACCCAGCACGGAGAGCCGGGCGGTGGCCGAGCGCACGGCGCCCGCGTCGTTCCAGGCTTTGCAATGGTAGGTGCCGGCCTGCTCAGCGCTCAGCCCCCGGAGCTCCAGGTGCGCCCCGGACCGGTGCTCCCGCCGGTCCAGCAGGGTCCCGTTGTGGAACCTGGGCGGTGGGGGCGACACCGTGGGGCCCCGGGGCTCCAGAGGGGCGGCATGCAGCACCCCCTCCCCAGACCCCCCATCACCCCTCAGAGCTGGGGCCCAGCCCCCACTCACCAGGCGTATTTCTTGGGTGTGGGGGTACCCGCGGCTTTGCAGCAGAAAGTCACGTTCTGGCCGGCCTCCCGCACCCGCGACTGGGGGTGCTTCACCAGGTAGGGCCTCTCTGGGGCCACAGGGCAAACATCAGCCCTTCTTCCCATCTCCCCCTCCCTCCCATGCCTTTCCCAGGACTCTACCCTCCGCACCTCACTTCTGCTAGGACAAACCCCACTTTTTTATTTTTTTTATTGTGGGATTAGGGGTACACCTGGAGTACTCAGGGACTACTCCATGCGCTGTGCTTGGGGCTCACTCCGGGTGGTGCAGGGACCATATGGTGCCAGAGATAATGACATGTAAGACACACGCCTTCACGCTCAGGTTTCCTGGCAGTGCTCAGGACACTCAGCAGTGCTCAGGGCACTCAGCAGTGCTCAGGGCTCCCAGCAGTGCTCAGGGCTCCCAGTAATGTGAAGCAGTGCAGAGCCTGGCTCAGGACTTGGGGCAGTGCCCTGCGGACTCATGCTCCCGTGCTCACTGCCCTTTGGTGTTTCTGTCAGTGCTTATGTCTACTCCTGGCTGAGCTTGGGGACACTTTTGAGCAGTACTGGGGCACATGCAGGGCTATGTCCCACCCGTGCTTGGCGCACTGGGCTAGGTCCCCAGCAGGGAAGTGTGTCTCAGGACCCTCGGGTTCCCTGTCACCTATCACTGCATCATCTATTTCTTTGTCAGCCCGGCTTGTGTCCCCGGGCACCCCCTGCCACGAGGGCCTTACCCAGCCGCTCCAGAACCAGAGTCACCACTGTGGACGTGGAGCCGTTGGCCTGGGCCTGGGCCACGCCTGCAGAGAAGCCGTCCATGCGGGCACTGACATTGGCCCGACTGCTGGAGCACACCCCAGGCATCTGGAAGGTCCCGTGGGCATCGCTGGTGGCCACGGTGCCAGGCCAGTCTTGTAGAGACACGCGGGCTCCCGGCAACGGTCGCCCCAATGAGGTGACCACCTGGCCCAGGAGGACGTGGTCGGGGCACACGCAGGTGTCAAGGTTGCACTCTGGGGGGACAGAGGAAGTGTGGCTATCCTTGGTTCCCCTGGGGGAAGCTTTTACTTTGGCGGGGGGTTTGTTCATACTCAGCAGTGCTCAGGAATCACTCTTGACTCTGTGCTCAGGGGACCATATGAGGTGTCAAAATGGAACTGGGGTGAGTCGCATGCACGGCAAGCACATACCCTCACAGCATCTCTCCTGCCTGCTGGGCATAGCGCTTCTTTACTGCATGGCCCCTTGTGCCCCCCACGATCCCCAGAGGCTGTAGGATGGCTCCCCAGGGCTCTGGCTGCACCCCCTAGTGGGGGGAAGGGAGAGGACTGTGTGGTCAGGGTCAGCTGGCTCAGGCCTGGGGTCAGAGTGGCGGAGGTGTGCTGGAGTGGTGACAGGAATGGCGAATCCCGGAACAGGCTCCTTCCAGCACACAAGCAAGTGTCCCCGTAGGGACAGGGGCTTGGCGAGGGGCTGGGTCTTGGACTCATAACAGTAGCAAACCCGCAGTTTCTCCACAAAGTGGAAAATTCCACTGGAAACTTCAGGGCAGAGGCGCCGGGAGGACAGAGCCAGGCCGGGCAGGGTGGGGACCCCACCACCCCATTGGCCACTCTGCTCCCCCACCCCGCCATGGGCTCGGTCTCCAGACCGTGTTTGTGGAGCCCAGGCCGGACTGGAATTTCCAGTCGCCTCCTGGCTGGCCTAGTGTCTGGCCCTGGGCATCGTGTTTGCCAGGGTGTTAGCGCGTGTCCTCGTGGGCAGGGATGTGGGTGTGGACTGCCAGTGCCACGCGCCCCAGTTCGTAACCAGCTTGTGTCTGCACGCACGGGGTGTCTGTACACTGGTCAGGTCATGCACACAGGGGATGCAGCCCAGCATGAGGGAAATACTCATAAAGGTCAGGCCCCGCCCCATCCACAAGCCCCCCCCCGCCCCGCCCCTGGAAATACCCACCCAAAGCCCCACCCCTAGGGGCCCTACCCCTCCTACCTGGGCAGGCAGGTCGAACGCACTTTTGTGCCTCCAGGGGACGCCCGGGACACCCATCCCCGTCTGGGCTTGAGCAGATTCTGCGGCGCATTCGACGGCCTGGCCCGCAGCTCCCAGAACAGGGACCCCACGGACCCCACGCGCCCCAGGTGACCTCTGCAAGGGTGAAGGGAAGCGGGGGCGACTCCTCTGTGAGTCCGGGACTCACTGAGCTCCTCCTCAGGGGGTACCTCCCCGTCCCGACCTGAACTCCCTGAGGTGAGCCATTTGGGACTCAAAACTGTCCCTTAGAGCTATGACAGAGGCACGAAGGAAGGCAGCGACTGAAAGCTGTGCTCCCGCTATTCCCCGCCTCTGTCTTCTAAAGATGCCCCCCTCCCAGGCGCTGACTCCTTGGGGACCCTGCTTCTAGGAGACCCTACTCCTCAACCCCCTGCCAACAATGTCCCATTTACATCACCTTCCCGCGGCCCCAGCCCCGTCCCTTCCTGCATCTTATCTCCGCCCCTCCCACCCGCGGCACCAATCCAGAACCCTTGCCCTCGGGGCACCCGCTCCCCAGCATCACTTATCTCTGCCTGGTGTACAGCAGCTCCCTAACTTCGCCCATCCGCCCAGGCCCCGCCCCACCGAGGCCCCGCCCCGTCGAGGCCCCGCCCCCGCGAGAACCTGCCCACTGCTGGCCACAGCCCTCTCTTCTAATCCCGCCCACCCGGGAAGCCTCTAGCCCGGCCCCGACCCCCACGCGCCGAGACCCCGCCCCGGCCCCGCCCTTACCGAGGGGGCAGCGGAAGCGCACGTGGTAGTTGGAGCAGCGGCGGCCGCGCGGCTGCTCGCGGTTCAGGCACCAGAAGCCGCGCGCGGGATTGAGGTGCACGCGCTCGCCCACGGCGGACGGCAGGGCCCAGTCGGTGGTGCGCGCCTCCAGCGCCAGAGGCCGCGGGCACACTCGCGCCGGCCCGTAGTAGAAGCGGATTGCCGCCAGGCTCTCAAAGTCGCCATCGCCGCCCGGGTGGTCCACGTTGAACCAGGATGTCCACTCGCTAGCCTCTGCGAGCACCGCACGCGCTAGGACCCGTGTCGCTGCCCGCCGGTCCCCATTCGGGTGAGCAGGACCGGGCTGCTGCTTACCCTCCCATGGCGGCAGGCTCCCAATCCCCAGAGCCCAGGGCTCACCCAGATACCCCAAGGAGGTGTAAAGGGGACCTTACCCCCACTGCCCAATGCCTCACTGACCCTTAGGTGTGGGCTGGGTCCTTTCATCAACCCCCACCCCCAAGATTCAGAATCCCACGTGTGAGGAAGGAAGGCAGCAAGAGGGGCTTCCAGAACTGCAAACTGGATTTCTTCCTGCAGCTCTGCTGGGGCGTGACAGAGGATGGCCCAGGTGACAGGTGCAGAGGCTGAACCACCAGGCAGCTCCGGGAGTGCAAACCCCAGAGGCAGGGCCAGCATTCCTACCGCCCCATCCACCCCACACAGCCGGGACAGCACGCCTCTTTGACTCAGATCTTTTGGGGACCACTTACAACCCACCCCCAGCCAGGGCTCGCACAAGTCCAGATCCAGGCCAGGCCAGAGCAAGGCTGACTCACCTTCCCAATCCTCCAGGGAGGGCGAGGGCTGGCCTGGGCCCAGGGACGGACCTTCGAGGCCCCAAGTCGGGGCTGTGGGCTCCTCAGCAGAGGTGCTGCCTGCAGGCGGGGATATTGGGGGGACACCCCTAATGAGCTACAAGATTGTCACCTCATGTCTTTCAAGAGGAAACAGGCTCAGGAAAGCCTGAACCCAATTCTGGCTGACCCTCCAAGGACTAACCACTTAACTCCTCCAGCAAGAAGCGTACCCACCCCAGCCTCCCCTGACCCATTCCTTCTGCTGCCCAATCTCTGTGTCTCCTGCACCAGTTTTCCGTTCAGCAGTGGTACCTTGGCCCCTCCCCATCCATCCATGTAGGGGAAATGACTGTGCCTTCCTCAGTTTACCTTCTTTTTTTTTAATTGCACAGTATGTATATGGAGGTTTTGAAGGGAAGGAGGGAGAGAAAGTGGGAGAGAGTGGAGAGTAACATGCTCAAGAGAGAACGGGCTTCTCCTAGGGCGGAGAGAGCCCGTACCCACACCCCAGCATCAGCCATGAAAGCATGAAAGTACACATCTCAAGAGGGGAGATGCGGGTGACACATGTGCTGGGCACCGCATGTACTTGGCTACATGGGTGCAAGCAGCACATGGACTCAGGCAGCATATGCGCTCAGTTTACCTACACCTGTGCTCAGGACGTAGGATGTCAGAAAAGCCCCCAAGTCTCACCCTTTCACCCTCATCTCCCCAGAAAAATGGGCCAATTCCTCGACCCCCTCAGAGTGTTCCAGAGACAGGAATCCCCTTTCCGGAGTTAAGTATGGGGGCGGGGGCATCTGACCCCTTCATCAGGTGTCCTGACCCCCCGCGGGGAGCTCGACGTACTCAGGGTCCCAACTACGCTGCAGGCGTCCCGGGAAGGAAGACAGGAGACAGGTCCCCTCCCCACGCCCTCGGTCTCCCCCCTCCCACCTCCTCCGTCCTGCCTCCAGCCGGGCCCGGCCAAGGGGACCCGGGCCAGGAAGATGCCGCGAGTCCGGTCCAGGAGCGGCAGCCCCCCATTCGCGCGCCTCGGAGGCTGGGTTGGGAGTCTAGGGCGTCTCACCTCGAGCCCCCGCCGGGAGCACCACGGCGACACACAGGCAGAGCAGAGGCGGCAGGAACGCCATGGCCGGGTCCGAGCGCCGCTCGCAGCTCTGGGCTCGGCGGCGCGCTCGGAGCAGACTCCGGCGGGTCGCGCGGCCGCGGGGTCTGAGGGCGCGGGCGGGGCTGGAGCGCAGGCCACGCCCCCTGAGACCACGCCCATCGAAAGGCCACGCCCCCGACCCGAAGAGACCTTGGAGACCCCGGGCAGCCTCGGGATGCGTCGGGATGCACCTCAGCCCGCTCTCCCCGGGGCCGGCGCGGGAGGGGGCTGTGCCGTCCGCCCGCCCCCGCCCACCGTGCTTCTCCGGGTCAGGTGGAAAGTCCCTCGGCGCTGCCCACCCGTCCTGAGCCCTCTCCCCCAGCGCAGGTACCCCCGACCCCTCCCGACCGCGCCCCCGCTGGGGAATGTCCACCCCCCTCTTCCCCTCCCTGTTCCCCCGGACGGCCCCAGCGCGCGCGCACACACACACAAGCCGAGGCGGGACTTGGCGTTTATTGTCGCGGGCGGTCACAGCGCGGCCACGCAGTCGGTGCCCGAGTAGCCGGGCAGGCGCAGCGCGAACTTGCGGCGCACGTCGTCGGGCACGAAGCGGCCGGCCACGAAGTGGTGGCGCCCGGAGAAGCGGCCTGCGCAGCGCTTGGGCGCCGCCAGTGACACCAGCACGTCGGGCCGGAGCCCGTCCTCCGCGTCGCCGCCCGTCTCCGCGTCCCAGCCTGGGGGAGGAGCGGCGGGTCACCCTCGAACCAGCCCTGCCTCCCCCTCCGTGCTGCGGACCCCCTGCCCAGGCTCCAACCTGGCCCCGGCCTCTCACCTCTTCCCGCCCCACTTTCCCACCAGCCGCCCGGCTCTGGGCAGACCCCCATCAGACCTTATCTTTACCCTCAGCGGTCTGTTCCCCCCCCAACTCCCTGTCGCCTCCTCCCCTCTGACTGGACACTGACCTGACCTCTCCGCCCTCCCCCCATTAGACTAAGATCCGGTGAGGCAGGACCCCACCCCCTCATTAGGCAACTGCAGACTCACATGTGCCTCCCCCCTCAGACTAGACTGCCTGCCTCTTCCTCAGCGCCCCCAGCAGGGGACACCCTGCTGGGACGCCCCAAGGTGCTGGGAGCCCCCAGATGGCCCAGTCACTCCCCAGGCGCCCAGCTGCCCCGGGTCTGTTTGTTCCGTCTGCCCTAATGGCTCCAGCAGGCCCGGGGTGGCAGCCAGTTTGGGTGAGGCCTTGGCCGGGTGAGCTCACGTCTGCCGGGGGGCCGGGGTGGGTGGAGATGACCCAAACACCCCCGCTCAGGGCCGCCAGCCGTGGTCATCCATCTGCGAGGGAAGCCTCCCTCTCTTGGCTGGGGAAACTGAGGCACAGAGTGGCCAGGCTCAAGGAGGGGTCGCCGGAAGCTGGGGTCTCTGCCCCATCCCCCCACCTGCCTGAGGGGATGTCCAGGCTGACGAGGGGGATGGACAGGAGCTTGAGCGTGGCCAGTGCCCGCGTGCAGGGGCCCCCCACCTCACTGGGTTCCACGCCGGGGCCCAGCACAGCGTCCACGACTAGCCCGTAGGCGTTGTTGATGAGCTGGACCTAGGAGGGTGGGCAAGGTGAGGGGTGGGGGGTACCCAGCATCCCCCCCTCACCCCACCACCGGCTCAGACCTCGGTGGGCAGGTAGGACAGGAAGGGGATGTCCATCTTCTCGCACTGGGTGGTCAGGTCGCGGTGCAGTGGCTCCAGAGAACGCGTGGGGTAGAAGATGGTGGGTTCATACTCCTGGGGGTGGGAGGGACAGTGCTGGGGCCCTGGCCAGGGTCCCCCCTTCCCCCCGTGACACGGGCACATTTCTGCTGGCCAGGGCGGCCTCGGGAGGGGCAGGCTGCAGGGCCCGCTACTCACGAACATGCGCAGATGCCGGGCGCAGACCAGCCCCACCGCCCCGTTGTGCTCGGGGCCGCACACCACCAGCACCGTCCTCTGCTTCCGGGAAAGTGCGGGCAGGGGGAAGACCTGGGGGTGCAGACCGGGGCTCAGGGGGGCTCGGGGAGGGCTCCGCCTGATAGAGGGGGGCGGGTGGAGGCTGTGTTGAATTTTGTTTTGAGCTAGAGGGGGGCTGCGGCTGTGCTCTGCGCGTTGTGCTTTGGGGTGCAGTGCTCTTGCCTCAGGCTCCGCCAGGCCCAGAGGGAAACTCGCCTTCTGGCCTCGAGGCTCCGAGGTCTGTTTACCCTCCCAGCTGCAGACTCACTTCCACCGTTTAACATGCCTGGGGTTCCTGGCCCCGCCCCTGTCCAGCCTGAGGCCCCTCCCAGAGGCTCCATGGGTGGGGGCAGGGTACTTTTCCAGCCCCAGATGCTCCCTCTGCCCCTCTCTTCTGCCTCCTTTTCACCCTCCTGCACCCCTGTCTCCATCTCTGCAGCTCCACCTCTCAAGCTCACTCTGGTGCCCTGGCCATCACCCTATCTGGGGGTTTGTGGGGCCCACCAGGCAGTGCTCACTTGGCCTGGCAAGGGGCAGGGATCAAACCAGGGCTCCTGCATGCAAAGCAAGAACCAACACGGAGCCCCACCCTATGGCTCCGCATCACCCCCCCTCCTCATGGGGGCTCAGAGGGTGTGGCGCAGCTGTCCTGACTCAGAGCACCCCAGACTCTGGCCGAATCATCTCCTTCCACACAGCGACCACGCCCCTTGGGCTGTCTCCTCCCTGGGGGCCTGACCTGTGGCCCCATGGAGTTGGGTGACTAGATCTAGAGGGTGGGGCCTGAGGGCTTTGGGGGACACACGATGAAAGGGCTTTCAGGGTCAAAGTGGGCGGCGGGGCTTTGCTCCTGCAGCTCTCCCGGGGGTGCATCATTAAGAACGAGGGCACTGAGGGAGAAAACACGCGCGCCCGGAAAGTGTTTTTCAGCGGGGCGCTGGGGAGGGGAGACGGGGGCGGGCAGGCGGCTCCAGGGCGTTTCTGTTTATGAGCCCTGTGAACGGGGCTCTCGCCCTACCCGGGAACACGCTGACGTCGCCCGTCGGCTCTTGCGGGCACCCCGCAAGCTGGGGGTTCACCCCGGAGCGGAAAAGTTCCTCCTCCCACCCTGGACCCTGACGGCTGCCACGCTAGCCTCTGGACTCAGTTCTCCCGTCCTTGGGGCTGATTAGACAGGAGCCCACATCCCCCCACGCCCAAGATCCAGGGGGTGGCAGAGCCCTGTCTCTGCTCCCCAACACTCATCCCCGAGCCGCGTACCTTGGTCACTGCCACCGCACTGGCATGTCCACACAGCTCCGCCAACTGCTGCCGCCCGAAACGATAATCCTCCAGCAACTCCCGCTCCAAGGCGGCCGCCTCCGCTGTGCTGGGGGACGGGGGCGGGGTGTAGAGATGCTCAGAGACCGCAGCGATAACGGGGAGTCCTCAGTACCTGATGCGCAGCGCGGGATTGGAGGCGAAGCCCGGGGCGGGGGCGCCCCCTGGTGGCCAGAAGGCGCACGACGGCGCTGGGGTTCTCATGCCCCGAAGTGCTCGGTTGTGTAGACAGGTATGGGGGCGAACAAAGCGACAGCTCAGAACCTGAGCGCAGCAGCGTACTTTGACAGAGAGGGGCGGATGCGTAGGGTGGGAAAAGGGCCCTGAGCGAGCTCCAGGACGCTGGATGGAGCCAAGTTGCATGGAGGACTGATGAGGAAGGATGTTTTACTTTGGGGGCCACTCCTGGCAGTACTCAAGGATCACTCCTGGTGGGGCTTGGAGGATCAGATGGGGTTCTGGGGACTGAACCCAGGTAGGCTGTGTGCAAGGAACTTTCTGGTTTTTGGCAGTGCTCAGTGACCATATGGGGTGCTGAGGATTGAACCTGCATCGGCCATGTGCAAGGCAAGTGTCCTTCCTGCTGTACTAGGGCCACAGCTGGGGATGCTGGGCGGCCCGTGCAGTTTGAAGCTTGCCTCATGCTTATGGGCTGCAAAGGACTTTGGTTTGACCACTCTTTGGGTGCAGTGATAAAACTGCTGGGGCTAGAGAGAGAACATCGTGAGGGAGGTTGTTGTTCAACATGTGTGAAAACCCAAATGGCGCTGGGAGCCGTGTTCAGAAAACAGGAAGAATTTTAGGGTGGGGGCTAGAGCGGAGTGATAGTACAGCAGGTAAGGTTCTTGCCTTGCACGCAGCTGACCCAGGTTCGACCCCCAGCATCCCATATGGTTCCTTGAGTACTGCCAGGAGTATATTCCTGAGTGCAGAGCCAGGAGTACTCTTGAGCACCGCTGGGTGTGGTACCCCCCCTCCCAAATTTAGGATAGTGGGCAAGAGGAAAAAGGCAAGAGTCTGGGCAGGCGTGGGATCTGCATGCAGGAGGCCCAGGTTTGGCTCCAGCACTGCAGATGATCCCCCAAACTGCCTGGGAATCTGAGTACATAGCTAGGAGTGCACTATTCTAAAAGAGGGGACTGGAGCGATAGCACAGTGGGTAGGGCGTTTGCCTTGCACGTGGCCAACCTGGGTTCGATTCCCAGCATCCCATATGGTACCCCGAGCACCGCCAGGAGTTATTCCTGAGTGCAAAGCCAGGAGTAACCCCTGAGTACCGCCGGTGTGACCCAAAAAGCAAAAAAAAAAAAAAAAAAATCTAAAAGCTGGAGTGGTAACAGAGCGAGTAGGATGCTTACCCTGCACGCAGCTGATCTAGGTTTAATCCCCACCACCCCTGTGCACTGCCAGGAGTAATTCCCAAGTGCAGAACCAGAAGGAACTCCTGAGCACTGCCAGGTATTGGCTCCTCCCCTAACTTGGCCCCCAAATCTAAGGATCAGAGACAGTGGAGGAACTGGAGCAAATTGGCCTTCACCCGGCCTTTCCTAGTTCAGTCCCTGGAAACCAAGAGTTACCCAGCAGCACAGAACCAGGATCAAGCTTTGAGTTCTGCCAGGTGTGGCCCCCCAAACAACAACTAAGGATGGCGCCAACATGGAACATGAAACCGACCCAAATCGGGCAACCTGGGGCTGAGAGGGAGCCTCGTGAGGCGCTTGTCAGCCCAGACATCTTGGGTTGGGGTGCTGACACCCCCTTCCCACTGGGCATAAGCATGCTGAGAGCCAGGCCCACCGGAAGCCCATTTAGTACCTCCCTTGCTATCTCCGGAGCCGCAAATGCTGGGAAGCAGAAGCGAGGCTGCAGATGGCACGGGGTGTGTGTGTGTGTAAATTCTCCACGAGCAGACCACAGCATGGTCAGGGAGGGCTCCCTGGAGGAGTTGGCCTAGTGTGTAGCAAGCAGGAAAGTGCAGGTGGCAGGGTGCTGGGGTGGGGGCTAGCTCTGCATGTTCAAAGGAAGACCCTTCGGGCCCACAGGGACAGGGTGATGTGTCCAGAGGCTGGAAACTCAGTGCTGGGCGGCTGCAGCAGGCCTGAGTTCTCTGCAGCTGCAGGGGTGGAGTGTGAAGGGGCAACGCCCGCTTGTGTCCCGGGAAAGAGCATCAGAGGTGAATCTTGCTCCTCTCACTACTGACAGCCCTGGGTGCTGCCTCCACATGGAGTGGGGGCTGGGGATCACCCACTTCTCCTGGACTGACCAGGGGTACTGGGGCAGTGGGCGGCCCCCCAGGGGCCCGTGGTGTCCAGAGGGGGTGTCAGGGAGGCGGAGGTGTTCTGGCGTCCTGACACTGCTCCTGTCGCCCCTGCACCTCCACCCACACAGACCCGCAGTCCGGCTCCCCTGTGCCTGGACCCGACCACCCCTTGTCCCTGACGTCCCCTCAGCACAGGCTGTGGGGGGCTTTGAAGGCTGGAGATTCAGACTCCACCGCCATTCCCCAGCCTTCTGGGGTGCCGCAGGAACTCACAGGCGATTCCGGTCCCCGCCCACGCCCAGGTACCCCAGGAGCCTCCAGGTTCCGCCGCCTCCTGCACCTGCTCCAGCGGTGCCCCCGCACTCCGCATGGCAGGGGGCCCCTCTGGCCCCTTCCCTGGTGCTGCCCTCGCCCCACCCGCGTGGGCTCCACACTGAGCTGCTGGCGGGTCCCTGCCGAGAGGCGAGTCCGAGTCGGCCTGAGGTGGGGACCCCCGGGCTCCCAGGAGCACACCGGTGACTTCAACCCCCAAATCCATCAACTAACCGGCTGCAAAACGTGCTCAAAACCCGGGGTTCTGCTCAGGCTTGCTCCCTCCCTGCACCTGGTGCGTGCGGCTCCCCGCTCCTGGGGGCAGAGGGGTTCGCCCAGCATTGGGACACACACGGTGGGACCTAGGGTGACGATGAATAATTCGGAAGCCGTTTCCCCAGCAACGGAGCTTGGCGTTGGCGGCTGCACGCCCGGAGAGCGCCGGAGCGCCGGGTGCTCCCCGCCACCCCCTCACGGCCCCCGTAGCCCTGGGGCCCCAGCTGCCTCCAGGGCTGTACCCCCAGACCACCCCGCCCCTTCGCAGGGAACCCGGCGCCCGGCCGACCTGAGGAAGCGCTGCTCCTCGGGTGCCTCTGCTGAGTCGGCGCCGCTCATGGCAACTGCGAGCTCCGGGACTGCTACCGCGCGGACTCGGGCAGAGCTGCTACACCAGCGCCTTTTAAGTCAGACTCCCGCCGCCCACTCGGGAGCCCGCCAATCATCAGGCGCCGTGAGGGCGCTCTGCGCACCCATTGGCCATAAGCCTGAGCAGGCTTAGCCCTTCTGGGTTAACCCTTTGAGGTGTAGTTCAGGCCCGGGGCTTAGGCGCCCGTCTTAGAGCCCGGGTTCTGGGGTTCCTGGGCCTGCCTGCAGGGGCTCAGCCAAGTGTAAATAAGTGCAGGGGAGTTTGGGGTCCCTCGCACAGTAGCTACATGTCACATAACACACACACGCAAACACGCAAACACAGAAACCACCCTGGGCACGCAACTGGGGATGTCCAGAGCCTTTATTGTCTTGGGGGGGGGGGGGGCCGGGGGTGGCCGCACCCCTACGAGTACCAGATGAAGCCATAGGTGGAGTTGACGATCTCATCGGTGGGCCGCATGGCATACAGCTCACCCATCAGGGGGTTCACCCAGCGCGTCGTGTGGAACACGGACTCACCGACCTGTAGGCAGAAGGGGTGCAGCCAGGTAGGACGTGGCTCCTGGACCCCTGCGCCCTACACCCCCCATCCCTGCCGGGACCCACCTTCCAGTCAGGCACGTCCTTCATGATGACGGCCTCCTCCTCCAGGTTCTCACGAAGCATCTGCAGCACCCTGCAGGGGAGCGGGGGCAGGAGGGCCGCTCAAACTGAGCCCGCTCCTCCAGGAAGCCTGCTCTGACAGATTCCCCGATTCCTGCTGGGGTGCAGGGGTGAAAGCAGCCCCCCCCACCCCCATGCATCATGATTGTCAGGGTCTTCCAGCACCCAGGTCGCACCTCCGATCCTTCTCAGCCTGAAGCAATGGCATTAGCGCGATGCGGGCCTCGAAGTCCTCAATCTGCAGGCGCCTGAAAGTCACACCACATGTGTGGGAGCAGCCGCCAGCAGGGGTGCTGAGGCAGCACAGGCGCTGGTCCCCAATACTGCTGGCCCTGAGGGCTTCGGTGTCATCCCAGGCAACAAACCTGTTTCTGGGCTCATCTGGGGGTGCCACCTCCCCACCCCACCCCACCCCCAATGCCTGAGCTCGGCCGCACTGTAGGACGGAGTTCATCTGGCAGTGAATCAGTGTGTCTCCACTTCCTCGGGGGTGCCTGGCCCCGGTGGGGGGTGTGGGGTGCGCAGCAGGCACCAGCGCTCTCGCGACCTCTCCTGAGCTCTGCTCCCAAGTGCTCAAGAACAGAGCACTCCCTGTCTGCACCCGAGGCGGGCGGACACTCGAACCTCTGGTAGCCAGCTCAAACTCAGGGGGAAGGGGCGGCTGGGGTCACACTTGGGGAGCTCAGGGTCACTCCTGATTGCTCCAGGGATCACAGAAGCCTGGCCAGTGGGGTGCAAGGCGACTGGCCGCCTCCCCCACTCCCAGGCTCTGACCCCCTCACCAGCTTTTTTCATTTTGTTTGGGGCCACGCCCTGCGGTGCTCAGGAGTTGGTCCTGCTCAGGTGGTGCCTGGAGTCGAATGCCCCCCCCCCCCCCAAGATGTGCTCTCTCAGGCTCCTCACTAGTTCTCCTGGAGGGGCAAGCCCAGCTCCCCCTGCTCCAGAGCCGGGGCCCCTCAAGCCCACCTGCGCTCGCGGTTCCACTTGATCATGGTCCAGTAGCCGAAGAGCAGGGTCCCGATGCCCACGGCGAACATGCTGTAGCCTGTGTGCGGAGAGGCAGCTCTGTGGCGGCTCAGGGGTCCCCCAGGCCCCCACTTCCCAGCCGGTTTCCCGGCCTGTCCAGCAGGCACTGCTGAGTGCACACCTGAGGCCTGGGGGGGGGGGGGGTCCAGCCCTCCACACCCCCCAGCTGCTGGAAGTTTCTTTCCCAGGCAGCAGGCTGGTGCTCACTGGGCGAGCAGTGGCTTGGGGGAGTCTCTGACCCACAGAGGCTCTGGATGCCAGGCCGGCTCCCAGGGCCTGGCCCCAGGGGGCTGCAGACACAGGCTGTGGCCTGCAGGGCCTGGCCCCGCGGGGAGGCGGACAGCCATGAATATTTACTGAGCAGAGGCTTCATAATCCTGACTGACACCGGGGCCTGCGGCAGGCCTGGGGACGGGGTACAAGGGGGGGCTCAACCCCTCCACCAGGCACAGGCCCCCGCCGAGAGACCTGAGTGCCACCCTCCAACCTCCCCGCAGAATCACCTCTGGCCCGGGTCTCAGTGCTCCCCATTGCCACCTGCTGCACGAGTACCCCTCACCCCCAGGACCACAACCTGCTTGCCCAGAGTCTCAACTGACCCCCTCCGCCCCAACCCCACAGCCACAGGGCCTGTGAAATTCACAGACGATGCAAAGGACCAGAATAGCCACAAACAATTCTGGAGGGAACAAAGTTGGGGGCCTGGCACTCGGCGCCCACAGCTGTGTGTATGTACAGGCAGCCGCGGGGGCACAAGGCGGGACGCTCGTGCCGCCCCAGCCGTGGGGCCAGAAATAAACTCCCATTTACGGGCGGTTGGTTCAGGACAATCCAGCGGGAGAACAGCCGGATCAGCACATCGGGCCGGGCGGGCGGTGCTCCTGCCACCCCACGCACGAGCCCAACTCAGGGACCCAGACCCCCCACTCTGCCGCCTTCCGGCTCTGACAGCAGAAGTGCAAGGGAAGGGCCGGTGCTGGGGCATTCCGCAAGCCAAACCTCAGGCCAGAGGAGCTAAGACCCCTCCAAACAGGAGAAAGAACTGGCAGAGCCTGAACAGGAGGGGGAACCCCAAGCAGTCACACGGGGTGCCCTGGGGACTCTCCCTACGGGCCCAGCCCGAGGCTGGCACTGAGCAAACAGACACACAGGCGACTGCAGAGTGAAGTGGAACCCTGCATCGCCGGGGAGGGGTGCAAGCTGGGGGCTCCCCTCTTCCTCCTCGGAACATTCCAGGTGCAGGCGCGGCAGTGCGCTGAAGTGAGGGTGCTGAGGAGAAAAGCAGCTCAGCCTGAACTCGCCAGGCCACACACCGGGAAGGCGTTGCCCACATGGTCAGCCATGCTCAGCACCACCAGGAGCCACCCCCGAGATCAGAAGACCCCTGCACACCACTGGGCGTGATCCCTGCGCACCGCTGGGCATGATCCCTGAGCAGCACTGGGAGCGATCCCTATGCACCGCTGGGAGCGATCCCTATATCCCTTTGGAGTGATCCCTGAGCACCTTTGGGAGTGATACTTGAGCACCACTGGGAGTGATCCCTGCACACCTTTGGAAGTGATCCCTGAGCATCACTGGGAGTGATCCCTGAACACCACTGGGAGTGATCCCTGCACACCTTTGGAAGTGATCTCTGCACACTGCTGGGAGTGATCCCTGTGCACCGCTGGGAGTGATCCCTGAGCACCTTTGGGAGTAATCCATGAGCACCACTGGGAGTGATCCCTGAACACCTTTGGGAGTGATCCCTGAGCACCACTGGGAGTGATCCCTGCACCCCTTTGGGAATGATCCCTGAACATCACTGGGAGTGATCCCTGCGCACTGCTGGGAGTGATCCCTGAACACTGCTGGAAGTGATCCCTTCATCCCTTTGAGAGTGATCCCTGAACACCACTGGGAGTGATCCCTGCACCCCTTTGGAAGCGATCACTGCACACCGCTGGGAGTGATCCCTGAGCACCAGCGGGTTACTGCTGAGCCTACCGCCCACTTGAGGAACCTCACCCCAGCATCCATCAATGGCAGATGGATACACAAGTCGTGCTCCTTACATGAGGATGTGAGTGGGCCCTGAGTTGGCCCCAAGACAAGCCCTTGAGTGTGGGTGCGTGGAGCAGAAGTGCCCATTGGACCCGGGCAGCCCCTGCTGCGGGCAACTGCACATGGGAACAGGGTTCGCTTCAGGGGGTGAAGGTTCTAAGCTCGGATCTCGGTGATGGTGGCAGGGTCTGGGACCCTTGGAACGGGGGAAGCACATGGAACGTGAGTTCCAATGGGGTGAGAGGAGGGGGCACTGTGTGTGTTGCAGACGACCATGGCTCACAGACATGAGGGGGGCCCCGGGAGGGACTGCACCTGCGGCTCCCTCTGCCCAACACTGGGGTGCATGTGAGGGTGCAGGCAGAGCGGAGGCAGTCACTCCACCGCCCCGAGACCAGCAGGCCAGAGCCCCGCACACTCATGGCACCCACGCACTGCTTGGCCTGGGCTCGGGACTTGGGGCACACGGGGGCCCTGTGTGAATGGACTGGGGAAACGGACTCTGGGTTTCTTATGTTCACTTGAGGGCTGCACCTGGCCACTCAGGGCTGATTCTCCTGGAGGCGGCTCAGGAAGGGGGGCTGCGGGGTGCCAGGAATGGAACCATAGTCAGCAGTGTTTGAGGCGAGCTCCTACCTGTGTGCTCTCTGGGGCCTAAGAAATACTAGAGTGTTCAGGGGGTGAGCAGGGAGGGGGGGGGCTAGGGATCACTCTGCAGCTTGACTGAGCACAGGACAGGGGAGTCCCCACAGCCGGTGGGAGGGCAGTCTGCTCGGTGGGCTTTCTTCCCTTGGATTCTGTCCACGACCACCCGAGATCAGGCACTAGGAAGTAAGTCTAAGCTCCAGGCATGTGGTCGACTTTTGCCTTCACTCCCTGGACAGTACAGGGCCCTACTGCAAACAGGCCAGATGCAAACAGGCCAAGTCCAGTGACGGAGAGAGGTCACTCAAAGCAGTGGCTGTCACTGCCAGTGCATAGCCCTGAGAACTCTGGAAATCATCAACTGAAAGTAAAGGAAGGGCGTGCACAGGCCAATATTTTTCATTTTCATTTTATTCTGACCACACCTGTGATGCTCAGGGCTCACTGCTGGCTCTGAGCTCAGAAATCACTCCTGGTGGTGCTGGGGTGGGGATAGGGGTACCCTATGGGATGCTGGGGATGAAACCTGGGTCAGCAGCATGCAAAGCAAGCACCTACCCACTGCATCATCATGAGACACGTGCCCAGAGACCTGGGCATCTCTCAGGGCCTTGGAACCAACCCACCACCCAGAATTCCGAGGGAGGACAGTTCTTGGGGGGGGGGGGGGGGGGGAAACGGGACTCTCTCTCCGATCCAGCGGTCAGATTTAGCCTACAATACATAAGGTACTTGAGGGGCGTCTGCCTTGCAAGTGGCAAGCAGGGTTTGATTCTCGATATCCCACTTGGTCCCCTGGGCACCGCCAGAGGTAATCCCAGAGTGCAGAGCCAGGAGTCTGCCCCGAGCACCGCGAGTTTCCACCGCTGGCTGACTTCACCGTTTCACCCACAACCTACTCCCCGACGCCCCTCTGAATTGTTTTTCCTTTACTGAGGCATCGTTTGGATGGGATGCAAATGCCAGGGATCTGAACGGTCAAGTTCGATTATTTTTAACAGTGCGTTCCCTCTGCACACAGGAGGCATTTCCCATTCCCGTCAGGCCGGAGCAGGGAGTCAGAACACCGGGTGCCGTCTGCCTCCTCTTCCCAGGTAGTTTGCAAAACTCCTACAGCAGCGGTTGCCGGTCACCGTGCGCGCGTCTGTCCGTGCGCTCCTGCGCTGGCCGGGACTCCCGCACCCGGAGGCTCCGAGACCTCCTCGGGCTCGCGAGGCCGCCGCCGCCTCCCCCGAGCCTGTCCCCGCGGCGTGACGGAAGCGTGGCCGACTGCTCGGCCTCAGTTTACCCGCGTGAACGGGAGCGAGAAAGAGACCGACCGCGCGGGGCCGCGGACCTCGCTGCGGCCGCTACAGACGACCCCGGCTGCGCCTCGCGTCCCACGGCGGGTACTCTTACGCCTGCCCGCAGCCCCACCCTGACTCCGCGGCGCAGGCGACACTGACCCGACAGTCCCCGCCGCGGAAGGTTCCGCTTGTAGTCGATGGGGCCGTAGCCCCCCGGAGGGGGCATGTCCTGCTTCACCTTCGACGCCGCCATCTTCGCAGCACTCGCGTTTCCGGCCGCGAGCGGAAGTGCGTCACGGAGGTAGCCGCCATGTTGAGCGTGGCGGAAGTTGTCGCGCGGGTTCGGGAAGGGTTCCGCGGATGTGACGCTAGAGCTCGTTGGGGGCGTTTTGGTCTTATCAGAAGCGTCAAGGGTCCGAGAGGACAGGTCATCCGGCGAAGGATTTTCCTGTTGTTCACCTGTCGGTGGGCTCTGCAAGCAGCCTGGGGTGCCACGTGGTCAAGGCTCGGGGTACGAATGTGGCGGGCGGGTCCGGACTCACAAGCCACCCTACTGCCAGGCACTAAATCCTTTATCAGCTGGTGGTCGGGACCTCTCTCTCTAGTGGCCTCTGGTCCGAAACTGGGCCACTCAGCGAGGATGAGTCACAAAGCCGGACTCTCTGGGGGGGCGGGTCGCGTGGGGCGGGGTCTCGTTGGGCCCCCTCCCAGAGGCGAGGTGACGCCCGCGGTCACTTCACAAGGAAGAAATTGTTACCAGGGCGATAAGGCCCAGTGGTTGCGGGGCCCGGGGAGTGGGCACATGGGGGTGCGGGGGTGCAGGTGCCAGGCGCCATGGGTTAGGCCCGAGATCGGAGTCCGGCCGCCCCCCGACAGCCGCCGCCTCCTGCTCCCCGTGCGCCCCAGGCGCCACCATGTCGGGCGACAAGCTCCTGAGCGAACTCGGCTATAAGCTGGGTCGCACAATCGGCGAGGGCAGCTACTCCAAGGTGAAGGTGGCCACGTCTAAGAAATACAAGGGCACGGTGGCCATCAAGGTGGTGGACCGGCGGCGCGCGCCGCCCGACTTCGTCAACAAATTTCTGCCGCGGGAGCTGTCCATCCTGCGGGGCGTGCGGCACCCGCACATCGTGCACGTCTTCGAGTTTATCGAGGTGTGCAATGGGAAGCTGTACATCGTGATGGAGGCGGCCGCCACCGACCTGCTGCAGGCCGTGCAGCGCTGCGGGCGCATCCCCGGCGGCCAGGCGCGCGAGCTATTTGCGCAGATCGCCGGGGCCGTGCGCTACCTACACGACCATCACCTGGTGCACCGCGACCTCAAGTGCGAGAACGTGCTGCTGAGCCCCGACGAGCGCCGTGTCAAACTCACCGACTTCGGCTTCGGCCGCCAGGCGCATGGCTACCCAGACCTAAGCACCACCTACTGCGGCTCGGCGGCCTATGCATCGCCGGAGGTGCTGCTGGGCATCCCCTACGACCCCAAGAAATACGACGTGTGGAGCCTGGGTGTTGTGCTCTATGTCATGGTCACCGGCTGCATGCCCTTCGACGACTCGGACATTGCGGGCCTGCCGCGACGTCAAAAGCGCGGCGTACTCTACCCCGACGGCCTCGAGCTGTCCGAACGCTGCAAAGCCCTCATCGCCGAGCTGCTGCAGTTCAGCCCGTCGGCCAGGCCCTCGGCCGGGCAGGTCGCGCGCAACGGCTGGCTGCGGGCAGGAGACTCGGGCTAGCCCCGCTGGGGCTCCCGCCGCCGCCCTTGCACTGTGCACGCGCGCGGGCTCCGGGGGCCTGCAGGGCCTCCGCGCGCCACAGCGCAAGCGCACTTTCCCTTTTACCCCATCCCATCCCCTCCTTGTCCCTCTGCGCCTGGGCCAGCGTCGCCCCCGCGCGGAACCCAGCTGCTCCTTCACGACGCCTAGAGCTGGGCCCCCCAGACGGCCTCCGCAGGGGCGGGGCGAGCGGAGACGTCGCACTGCGCATGCGTGGAACAAGCGGGGCCTCGCGGAGTCGGCGCCTGGAGGAGCCACCGAACCGTGTGCGCGCAGAGGGCGAATTGCACTCGGGTCGCTATCCCGCGGGGCCTTCAATAAACTCGCTCTTCCTCGCACCTGCTTCTGGTGACTTCCCCTCCTAGGGAGCAGCTTCGGAAGGGCGTGCTCCCTGTTTGTATTTTGGGCCACCCCTGGTGGCGCTCAGGGATCGCTCCTGGCGGGGCTCGGGAGACCCTATGTGATGCCGGGAATTGAACCCGGGTCTGCCAGGTGCAAGGCAAGCTCCCTGCCGGTGTCCTGTACTGTCGCTCCGCTCCCTCCCTGTTCAGCGCCAGGTCTTGTAGGAGCTGATGAGCTGATCTCTGCACTGAGGCTGCTGAATGGGCTACCCCCGCCCCTCCCCACACACACCCGGTGAGGAGGCGGCGGCGGGGTGCGTGAACCGTGCATTTGCAGGTGGGAGTGGAACACACAGGCACCCATGTCAGAGCACTGGGGCAGAATCCGGTTGGCGCTGTGGGAGCTCCTGGGTCGGAGCTCTGCGGTTTCCTTTGCCAGATCAGGCCCCTGCAGAGGCAGGAATGAATGCCCCTCTGCTTTTTGCCAGTTGGCAAGCGAGAGGGGCACTGAAAGAATGGCCAAGGACGAAGGCTTTGTAGGTGGCGCTAGATGCGACCTTTGGCGCTGGCTGTGTGGTAGCGTTTGAGCTGAACCCTGAAGGAATCAGCTCGTGGGAATAGCAGAGGTACCAGATGGAGCTGGTATGTCAGAGGACCACCTGGCAGCCACGGAGTAGGAGGGAGCAAAGTGTGGGACTTTGTGAATATATCTGGAGAGGAAGCTCCACTAGAGAACTTGGGTTATTTTGCCTTTGGATGGGTTACTGGCTGGTCGTTAGGGGTGTGGACAGCCCAAGCTCAATACACTCCTTGGCTTTCAGGGGTGATGGGGATTAAGTGCCAGCCTCCCCTCTGCACCCCCCATTTTGCAGGGCAACAGCCCAGGAGGAGAAACATCTTTTTTATTTCATGGTGGGGGGCACACCTGGTCAGTGCTCAGGTCTCAGTCCTGGCTTTGCACTAAGGAATATACTTCTGGTGAGCTTGGGGGACCGTGTGGGATGCCAGGGATTGAGCCCGTAAGGTGCACGTGCAAACACTCTACCACTCAAGCCCCAAGGGTAAGCAGCATATTCTTGTCTCTGCATAGCTGAGACATACCTGCTGTCGTCCTGTTTACTCTAGAAAGGCCTCTGTTGGTCTGGCCATACCTCTGGTTCCCCACCTGCTGGAAAGTGGGGGCAGGAAGCCATCTGCAGGGCTGCTGAGGGCTCACTTAGATGCCCATACCAAGCCTTTCATCTAGGTCTTTCCTCTGCGACCTGAGCTGAGCTCTGAGCCTTTGTGCAGGTTGTCCCCACTTCCCCCCACACCTGCTCTTTCCCTCCCTTCGGTCGCTGGTGAGGTGCACTTCTTGCCCACAGAGAGATCTGAGAACTATCTCGCCTTAGGGTCAGCACTCAGTTCAGATGTGACAAGGCAATGTTGGGACATGGGGTACCAGGCAGGGTGTCAAAGGTGGTGACAATGCAATGCGGTCACGTGATACCAGCTGTGCCTTGCTCAGGTGAGCTCCATCAGACTGCAGTAATGAGAATCAGGACTGGATTGCTCCAACATTTTTTTGGGGGGGTACCGAGGGGAATGGTTAGACCCTGCAGTGCTGAGTGCTTACTCCTGACTGCTCAGTACTGGGGATCAAACCCAATTTGATCGCCCTACAGGGGAAGCACATTACCCAATGTACTTTTTTTTTTTTTTTGCTTTTTTTGGGTCACACCCAGCAGATGCTCGGGTTCCTCCTGGCTCTGCACTCAGGAATCACTCCTGGTGGTGGGTCAGCCTCATGCAAGGCAAACACCTTGCCCGCTGTGCTATTTCTCCAGCCCCACCCAATATACTATTGCTCTGGCTCCATGAGCACATTTTCACAGGCTGTAAGACCAGCTTCAGTCTCTGGTGCTGCATGTTTCCTTGGGCATGGTCTGGTGTGACTTCCTACTTTTTTCCCCCCCCTTTGCTTTTTGGGTCACATCCGGTGATGCACAGGGGTTACTCTTGGCTCTGCACTCATGAATTACTCAGGGTGGTGCTCAGGAGGGCCATATGGGATGCTGGGAATCGAACCCGGGTCAGCCTCGCGCAAGGCAAACGCCCTACCGGCTGTGCTATATCACTCCAGCCTCATACCTATGATTTTTTGGGCTACAAACAAGAAACAAACAAGGCCCACCAGCCCAACATGATCAAATTAGAATGTACCCAAGTGATCACACAAGTGTCCCTTGGTAAATAAAACCTTAGTCACCACCTAGCTGGGGACTAGAAGTCAGGTCTCACCATTCTTGCCACTCCAGATACCACAGCTCCCCCACGACACAGGCACGAGCCAGAATCCAGCCTGTTTATTGAACTTCTATTCCGGTTTGGTGGCAAACATTTGTTTACATTTATTATCAAAGATTTAGAGTCACAATAAATACAAGTGACAACCCTCCCTCCTGCACCCCCACCCCTGCAAAAAAAAAAAAAAAAAAAGAAACCAACCCTCCCAGATACCCTGCACTAGTGTAAATGCCTATTACACTTTTGTTAAGCGTTATAAAACTTGAGTCCTTAGAAAAGAGCCGAGTCCAAGTCGTGTGCAGCATAAATCGGTGTCCAGGAAAAGGCCCCAAAGAATGGCCAAGAATCTGTCTGTCCTGTCACAGCCTGGCTGCTCCAGGGCGCTGGGCCAGTTCCATCCGGCTTCAGGCTTGTCTTTCTGTGGTGACAGGCCCCTGGAGCTGCACTTTCACTTGCCATGGTGAGTCCCCCGTCACAGGAGACCTGGGACCCCGTGGGTCTAACTGCCCAAGTATACACGTGGCCACCCTCAGGCAGATGGCGGTTTGGTTTCTGGTTGCCATGGGAACAGCGAGGTTACAATTGCTGTTTGGGGTGGGGAGGTCCCACATTCTTACTGCCTGTGCTCCAGGGGACCCAGGACTCGACCAGCTTGTAGGGTGCCCCTTGCCCATAGCTGCTTCCTAGTGTCCTCTCCTGGAACAGCACATCCTGTCACAGCTGCCCGCTGAGGTTCATCACCGGAGTCGCACAGAAAGGGGAGGACAGGAGGGAAGTTTCGAGAAAGGAACTGAAGATTAAGGCATCTCACGCTCCTGCCTTTTCAGAACAGCGAGGTCCGCGCGGCGTAAGTGGTCCCTGGTGGGAGTGCCCCAAGGGGCTGGAGGGGCGGGCAGAGGTGAGAGGTGGTTCCTGAGCAGGCGAGCAGGCTCCGGGCCTGTCCACCCGAGCCGAGGCACAGCAGGGCGGCGGTGTGTGGGCCGGTCCTCACCAGGCCGGCGAACAGAGAGGGCGAACAGCTCGGAGTAGTACAAGACAGGTGTTTTATTTTCCAGGCACACAGAAAAATGCGAGGAATAGAAATGTTTGCATACTCTTTTTGTGTGTGTGTTTAAAAACACACCCTTTTCCACTCCCCACTGAAGGTCGGTCTCCTTCCGCCCACCCCCATCCCTGGGTCTGGAATGAAAGCGCCGCTTGCCCTGTTCCCTGCCCCGCTGCCTTCAGCCCATCACGTTCAGGTTGGAAACAAAGATCAATGAGAAACTCAAGTTCCACACAACAAAAAAATTAGAACGGCCTGCAAAACTAGATCTGTTTCGTATCAAAAATGTTCTCTACACAGCGATATGCACACACCGTGAGGGGTTAAATGAGCCTTTATTAGAATGTGGAAGCTGTGGAGGGGGTAGGGGACGGCTGCTCTGCCAAACGAGGATTTTAAATTAGCCCCTAACTGCACGAGCAGGAAAACCAGGGCTGGGGTGCAAGCGGGGGGCCAGGAGCCGGCGTGTACCGGCCATCTTGCCGACCCCACGCACCCACACGCTCGCAGCTTCTGCCTTTCCTCACGGAGGCGATTTTTAGGGAGTGGGAGAAAGCAAAAACCACGCGCGGAGACCTGATCCTTGGTGAAACGTTTCTGCAGACTCTACAGAGGGTTTAAAAAAAGGAAGAAAGGAACAGGCTGAAGGCGAAGCCCGGCTCAGCTCTACGGAAAGGTTCTAAACTAGACCCCAACTGAACCCTTGAAGTTCAGCTACCGCCCAACCTGGACACACCATGAGTCACAAGGTCAGGGAGGCCAAGGATGCTGCCCATCCAAGTAGGAAAAGAAAAGAAAAAAATTTAATGAAATAGACCACAACAATGAAAACAACAGCCCTCCCCGCTCCAACTTCCTGCTCAGGCCCACGGACACACCAGTCGCGGCTCGCGCCTCCTCTCGCGGCACTGGCGGGCTGCTTCCAGCACTCCGGGTTCTCTGCTGGCTCTTCTGCTGAGGAGGGGCGCCGGGCGCGGCAGGGACCCCTGGTTCCGCAAGATTTACTTTCAACTCCATCATCATGAGGTGATTAAAAAAAAATCTTTCCCCCGAGAGACTGTCATAAAGACGACAGTCCAGGGCGGGGGCTGAGACAAGGAAGCAAAACAAAACAAAAATTCTGCTCGACGGGAGGGCCCAGGGCGCCAGCCTCGCCTGAGCGGGTCACAGTGTCCGGGGGTGGGTGGGGGGAGGCTGGAGCAGAAGCAGCCCCCGAGGTCCGCGTTTCTGCTGGTGTTGGGCAAACTAAAGGCAAAGAAAGGAAGAAAGCCCATGGGGAGTCCCCAGGGACGGTCCACGTGCCCCCAGGAAGCGACCTGGCCAGAAGCCGAAGGAGCGCTCGCTCCCCTGTCCCGGAGCGCAGGGTCTTCCGAGCGAGGTGACAGGACTAGGCGGCGGTGGAGGGAGCCAGTGGTCAGTGCCGGCTCACGCTACTTCCACGTGGCCGACTGGGGGATGGAGCGGGGCGGGATCATGTCCAGGAGGTACTCCCGCTGGCGGTCCACGGCTGAGGTGCTCTTGTGCACCGCCAAACTGGGGCTCACGAAGGCCAGGGCCCCGCCTGCAACACAACAAGCACAGGCCCAGCGGGGTCACGAGGAGGCTCCAGGGGCGGTCAGGGAGCAGGCCGGTGCCCCGTAACTCGCACACGGTCCCCACCTGTGCTCAGGGAGCAGCCAGGGGACAGGCTAGCGTCCCGTAACCCGCACGCGGCCCCCACCTGTGCTCAGTGGCGCCTTCTTCCAGGCGGCAGCGCCGCCCTTGCCAGTGCTCACGGCCCTGTCGGAATGTCTGCCGGTCCTGCTGACCAGGGCGGTGGCCGAGGCGGCGCTCTGGAGTTTGGGGGACTGGCTGAAGGTGTGCAGGACGGCTCGGGGAGCTGCAGCTGAGCCCCGGGACAGCTGGCTGGAGGCCTACAGTGAAACAAGGGCCCAGCTCACCAGGGGGAAAGGGTGGGCGAGAAGGCCAGACGCTCAGCGCAGCCTCTCCTCGCTCCGGCAGACCTCTCCCCACCCACACAGGGGTCCCTAGAGTCCAAAATCAGGAGACCAGGAAGTCGCACCAAGTGGGGAAGGAGAGTAAGAGAGACAGACAGATGTAGGTAGCATGACAGCTGGCGACTGAGCCGGTAAGTGGGGCCCTGGGCTGGCCGGGCCGGCGGGTGTACGGTGCCGCGGTTCTGACCTGTAGCACAGCCCCGTTACTCCAGTCGCGGGCCTCTCCTGAGCGGAACGCCAACTTCCGCCGGGGTTTTATGACCTACACAGATGGGGGGGGTGGGAGGGTGGAAAGGGAGGTCAGCAGCATCCCTGGGCTGACCTGGGTGACCCGGAGTGAGCGGGCGGGGACTGGGCTCAGTGCGGAGATGTGTTCAGCCAGTCAAAAGTGCCATCCGAGGACACCCAAAGTGCCGACGAAAGCAAAGAATTAAAAAAAAAAAAAAAAACAACCGAAAAAAACACAATGTGATCTCCAACTGGCTTCCGTCCTGAATTTAACGAGAACATTTCTTCCCAACGCCCCTTTTGTGTCTCATTGTGGCTTTTGGGAAAGGTCCGTTGAGACAAGAAGTACTTGCCAGCCAGCGCACTGCGGAATGAGAGCTAAAGAAACTGCAAATTAGTGTTTTCCTTGCTGAAGGCCCCCATTAAGGGCAATTTGGACGTGCTGGTAGCCACCGGGCGGGCGCTGGTGGCCGTGTGGACAGGGGGGTCGGCCCGCCCGCCCCCTCAGGCTCCCGGCCAGAGCCAGGTCTGTCCCAGGGCCCCGGCGCAGCTCACCTGCTTCAGCGAGGGGTGCGGGGCAGTGGGCTCGGCCTTGGGCTGCACGGGGGCGCCCTGCTGCAGGAGGCGCTGCTCAATCTCCTGCTCCTGCTGCAGTGCCTTCACGAAGGCGGCCTTCAGGCGGCTGGTGTGCTCCACCTTGAGCGCCTTCTTCTGGTTGGACGCCATGCAGCTCTCACACATGATGGCGCCGCCTTTCTCCTCACGCCAGCGGCACGTGAAGTCCGTCTTGCACTGGGCACACATGTAGGGTTCCCGGGACAGCACCACGGCAGCCGGCACCCTGCCCGCTGCAGGGGACGGGAGCTGGTCAGAGACTGCCAGACTGTCCCGCCTGGGGGGACAAGAGCCTCCCTGCTGGCAGCTGGCACTGGTGCCCCATCTCCAGAGCTCCCCCGCCCCCCCCCTCAGGTCACAAGCCACACAAGCCTGGCCCTCAGGGGCCCCCTAACACAATGGTGCCACCTAACCTCCCTCACAGCCAGCCGAGCCTATGACAGATGCCATAGGATGGTGGTTTCAACCTCTCCCATCTGTGGGATAGCACGTGGTGCCCAGATGGTGGAGGGTCGCGCGGCCCTCACCTTGTGTCTCCAGCAGGTTCTGCACCACCTCCTCCAGGCCCACCAGATAGATGAACTCGTTGTTGGCGGCGCTGGGCAGGAAGTTCATCTCTGGGGCGGGGGGCTTGGGTGGGGGGATTTCCAGCAGCGTCTTCTCCAGCTGTTTGCGTAGCGCCAGCTTGGCAGCTGCCTGACGGCTGGCAGGAGACTCAGTGGACGAGCTCACGCTGCTGGGGGTGGAGTTGGCCTGGGCAGAGGAGGACGTTGTCCCTTTGAGCGACGCTGGGGAGGACTTTCGGGAGGGAGACACCCAGTCAGCCAGTGCTGGGACGGCGCCCGGGGGCTGCACAGGGACCCTCAGGGGACAGCAGAGAACAGGCTGGGGAGGTTGCTAATGTCCGGTGAACTACATGGCGGACCTCTGCTTCCCCACACCTGGACACCGAGAGAGCCGGCATCCTGCCTTCTGGGAAATGGCCCTGATCCCTGTCACCACTCCACCTCCGAGAGGACCCTTCAGTGCTGATGACTGGAGTCACGTAATACAGCACAGGGCTCAGTCCACTTCTTCCCTCTGGGCACAGACCCTCCCTCTTCAGAGACCCCGTATTCGACCTGAACAAGGCTCTCAGCACTGCCTCACCTGGGGGATGTTGACCAGCAGACTGGTGCTGGGGACACTGGCAACCCGGATGAGGCCCTGCTGGATGATTCTCTGTCCCTGAATCTGCACGCTGGGCACAGCCGCTCGGGGCGCCAGCAGCAGCGGAGGTGGCCCCGTACCTGAATGCTGGCGGATGTTGTGGATCTGCTGTGGGAGTGGGAGATGTGACAATGAGAGGGGCCCAGAGGATCCGAGGCTCAAGCTGACCCCAGGCACCGCGCCCTTCTCACCTGGGCCCCCCTGACGAGTGGCGGCATGACCACCTGGGAGCTGGCCTGCGCCCCCAGCTTTGAGGCCACCTGCTGCCCGCCACGGACCAGGGGCGGTGGGATGACACTGCCGGGCAGACGGGCGGTGGAGGTCTGCAAAGGACAGTGGCGTGTTAAGAGGCTCAAGTCAATGAGCTCGCAGGATGTCCAAGTGCAAGAAGGGGCCGAGGGGAGGCAGCTCAGAGCAGGGGCTGCAATGGAGCCCCCCCACGAGGCCCACATCACAAGGGTCCAGACAAATCTGCTTCTCTTAATGTCCATGTCTGGAGCCAGGGCCAGCAGTGCTCTAGGGACCATGTGGTGAGAGGAAACGACCATGGGGTGTGCGAGGCAGATGCTCTACGCCTTGGAGCTGACTCTCCAACCTGGGGAACGGTCATCTCTCCAAGCACTCCTGCCTATGGGCTGAGCTGGGGGCCAGCAGGTCTCCCCTACTCACACCTGGCCACTGTCCTAAGGGTGCTTACAGGGTGCCCTTCACCGGTCACTCACAAGGAACAGGCCTGATGTAGACAGGACACTGACCTGAAGCGATGGCTTGCTGGCAGGAATGTTCTGGGTGCCCCGTACAAGCGGGGGAGGGGTAGTCACGGTGCTCCCTGAGGAGCCTGTGGGCTGTGAGAAAAGACAGGGCACGAGGTTGTCAGACCCTATCCCCATGCCAGCCTGGATGTGGGCAGGGGAGGGTGCTGGTGCCGGGAACCCACTGGGGACTCGGCCTCACTGTGTCCAGCAGGCAAAGCCAAGGCAAGGTCCCAGAGTTAGGCAGGGGCCCCGGGAGTGGAGAGACCATGTTGACTAGAGAAGGGATAGTGCCACTGCAGGTCGCCTGGGTCTCCAAGCACTGACTGAAATAATGACACCGTGACAGGCGCCTCGTGGAGGGGGAGAGCGACAATCCGGCCTGTTGACTCAGTGGTGAGCTTCCTCGAAGCTGCAGCCCATGCAGGGGGCAGGAAGCAGGACCCCGTGACATAGGCTTGCGGCAGCAAAGCTCTGGTGCAGAAACAAACGTGTCCCAAATTCAGCTGCCCCTCCCTCACTCAGGCCTGAAGGGAAATGCACCTGGCGGCCGGAACTGCACACTCAACATTCAGGCCTGCAGCCACAGCTGCCAACTGCCACGCCCTCCCTGTCCCTCCCTGCAGGGACCCCACGCACCTTCTGCGTGGGCGTCTCCTTCTGTATCTGACTCTGCCGCAACTTTTTCAGCAAGACGAGTTTGGCTTCTTCTATTCTCAGCTCCTCCTTTAGCTGCTTGATCATCTGCTCTCTCTCCTCAGGGCTGCTCTTCTGCACGGTAAGGGGTGAGGGTGGGGTGAGGGAGGCCAGAGGTACACAGCCCACCCCCCATGGCCCGCCCACTCACCATCAGTGCCTCGGTGCTGGTGTCCACAGTCTCCTTGGGCAGCCCATTCACCCGCGGGCTGGTGGGCTGCTCACTGTCTGAAAGCACGATCACATCGGGCGAGGGGGCCCTCCTCTCGGGCCGCCCATCACTGTGGGGCAAAGACAACGGTGGCACAGCCCGTCACCCCGTGCAGTGCAATCAGGGTCACGCATGGACCCAGCAGGCCCTGCCCACCGCAGCCCCTGCACAGCAGGCGCTGTTGCTGACGTCTCACTCCGTGCCCCCAGGACTGCAGTCACTTGTGTGCCTGGAGAACAAGGCTGGAGGGTGGGTGACTCATCGAGGCTCTAGCCTGCCAGCCAAGGGACACACACCTCAAAATCTAGGGGGTCTGACCTGTTCCTCTGTGGGTACCATGATATAGAGGGGCAGGAGGGGCTGAGTGGGAAACGGATAGTTCCCATAGTGCTCAGCCCTATGCCCGATACTGCGGCAGACCACAAACCTGGGCCTACAGCTCTCCACCAAACCTACCCTCCCAACAAGCTCAGGGATCACTGAGCCCTGGTCAGCTGGAATCCCGGGCTTTGGGAGCATGGTCTGCCTGATCCTCTGCATGAATGGAACAATGGTGACTTCCTTTGCCATTTGCCTGCCCAGATACGCCCCACAAGGGTCAGAGTGCTCTGATCTTAGCACCTGCGTCACACTGTGCCTGATGACCCCCCTTACTCAGAGGAGCAAGGGCCCCAGACTGCCTGAGAGCTGACTCCAGCATGGTATAAGCACCCCAGGATGGTGCCCACTAGGTGGCGCTATGGCACAGCAAACAGTTGGGACCTCCCGTGGGGAGAGGAGGCACAATTACTCCCTTGGAACTCTGGGCAGGGGGATAGACAGGGGGACAGATGGACATCGGACAGACCTGGAAAGGACTGGAGTCCTCCCCCTTCCCCTGAAGTCACGCGCCTACAGGAAACAGCACCGGGGGCCTAGGGCTGGCCAAGGTCTTGTTCCTCTACCTCAATGGCAGGGGCCACACCTCTGCCCACAGTGGCCTGAGGTGACCTGTATGGTCATTGCAGAGCAGGACACCAGAAAGTGCTGGTTCAAGATGTGCCCAGGCCATTTTGGGCCTCGTGCTGAGTCCAGATCAGGGCTGGCCATGGGGTCAGCCACCAAGCCCGAGAGCAGAACCATACGGGGCCCATGCTACCCTTTGCGCTGTCCCCACTGCACTCCCCACACTTCCCAGGCCGATGCCATGGACACCAGCCGCAGCTCAAGTGGCTGCTAGATAGTGGCCCAATGGTTCCCAGATTTCTCTGCCTATCACCCAACACCCTTTCAGTAAAGGAAAAATATCCTCAGCATCCCCGCTGGAAATGTAGCATCATAGAGGAGAACAGCCCCACCACAGCCCCCCCAGGTGCAGAAGATAAGACGACTTTAGAAAATGCAGGTCTGGAGGTACTGGCTACACTGAGGCGACGACCGTCTCGAGGCCTCGTCCCTTCTCAGCCAGGACCTGCATTCCCCACTGACCCCAGCACACCAGGCCCCATCTGTGCCCGAGCAGGGTGACAGTCATCCAAGAAGTGACGTCACCTCCCATCAAGAATCACTCAGCAGCCAGCAGGGAGTGAACTTCCTGTATGCTAATAAGGCCACCCAAAAGTCACGTGACAAAGGCATTTCCCTCCCCGATCACGTGACCCTTCACTGTGCCTTCCACAGTGAAAACCATGGCAACAGCCGGTTCTGACCGGCCTGTGACATGCAGCCTTCATTTTGAGGAGTGAGGTGCTCAGGTGCTGTCTGTCAGGAAATGGAGGCGCCCACAGCAGGCACTTCCTGTGCACCAGCCTGCAGGGACAGGTGGCCGCTTGCAACACAGGGCCACCAGTCCTCTGCAGTCTGGGAGGTGAGAGCACCCCAAGGCTCCTAGGGAGGAGCACCCTGTGACTGTCACGAGTGGGGGGCTGGCATATCGGGCCACACCCAGGTGTATCTGGAAGCCCCAAAACCAGTGAGCCTGTCCTGCTCAGCCAGGAACCCCCAATTAGGCAGAGCCTCAGAGAGTTAGGAGGTGGGCAGTCTGCCCTTGGACCCAACAAATTCCCGTGGTCATTTGGAGGGAGGGAGGGCAGGCGGCCAGGGCCACAAGCCCCGCACAGGTCAAGGCTGCCTGGGCTGCTCGCCACCAGCTGCTGGCGCGAGGTCTGTATTGAGCGGCTGGGCCCAGGGAAGGGAGAGTCTGGAGGGGACTCAGGAACCCTGACCTTCGGCCAGCCTGAGGAGGGAAGCGCATTCGCCCTGTTCACCCCCTCCCACTCGCCCCGAGGACACAGAAGCCAGGTGGAGGGTGGCCTGGGAGAGCACCTGAGGATGTCAGAGCCAGCAAGCACAAGGGCCTCTAAGAACAGCCCAAAAGCTGTAGGGATGCAAAGGCCAGTCTTCAAGGCCAGGACCTGGCAGCACTCACCCTGGGGGACGTGGATCTGCAGTGAGACCAACCCAGGAGGCAATCACGCTGGGGTGGACCCTGGGGCAGGAGTGAGTCTGAAGTAGCAGGAAGCCTGGCCACCTGCAGGCCCAACAGATGCTGACATTGCAAAGCAGCACGCCTGTGTCCTGTAGTGGAAGGCCAAAGCCACTCACCCCAACACTTCTTCCTTCAAATGGTGCCCAACACAAGTTGCCACCCCCCACCACATACACATTACGCAGAAGGTGGGCAAGACCCCATTCCCCACTTATCACCCTGATAACCTCCCAGGGAGCCCCAGTCAAAACTGGAAATGGTTTTCATAGGCCTGACGGAGAAAGTGGAGAGAGGAGGGCTTTGCCAGGATCTAAGACACCCTCTTCGTCCCTCCAGGCAGAGCTCCCTCGGAGAGGTGACCGACCTACAGGCACCAGCTTGCCCCAAAGTCCCACACCACCTGCCAGGGGGTGTCTGTCCTTGTCCCAGCCTCAGGCCCTCCTTTCTGCCCTGCCTTGTACACCCCTCCATCCTTGCTCCCTCTGAGCATGTGACAAACGTGCCACACAGCCCTCTCATCCTGATGCTCAGCAGGGCCTGGAGACAGGCTGGAGCTTGCTTGGGCCCACCGAGGGGACTGGAGGGAGCAATGGGGATAGGTGCCTGAGCCCAGTGGGGCTCTCTCAGGGGCTAACTCTTCAGCCCGAACGGGCGCCCTCTGCCACAGCTGGACGGCAGGAGAGGCAGGAGCAGATGGCTTGGCTCCAGCCCCCTCAGCCCCTCCCACCTGCGGCCTCCGAGTAGAGTAGTTACAGGGGGTGGGTGAGGCCTCAGCGGCATCTGTGGGTGGGGCCTGTTCTGCTGGGGGTCTTTGCTGATACCCAGGAGCCCAGAGGACCCCAGAGTGCAGGAGAAGTTCTGGGCCACAGGCTACACTCAGCCACACTGAGAACCAAGAAGCAGGAGGGCAGCACCGGAAGGCCTGCCACAGGAAGGCCAGGCTCAGGCACACGGGGGAGCCTGGGAGGAGCCAGCAGCATGTCTGGAAGGCGGATAGTCCCATGTGGAAACCCAGCAGAAAGAGCAGGAACCCCTGGCTCAGGGGCAGCCCGGCACTCCCCGCCACCAGCACTGACAGTCTCACTTAGGAGTTGGGCAGCTCTGCAGAGCAGGCGGCAGAGGAAGAGTTTCTGCTCACAGTGCAAAGGTGCAGGACAGCCATCTTTGAGGGAATGCAGTGACACTGAGGAGAGATGTCTGGCCTGTGACCCATGTCAGAGACCAGAAGCACAGGACCAGCTGCTGGTTTCAACCCTGCAACTCAGTTCTGGCCACCTTCACACCAGCTCAAAACAAGACGAATGGCTTCAGGGCAACAACTGGAAGCTTGGGCATACCCAGCACACTGGACTGTCCATAAAGGCCTTTGTGCAGGACCACCAGGGTGGGAGTGGGGGCAGGGGTGGGGCGTCACTACGTGAGGGACACAGAGACAAAAAAGGCCAGCAGGAACAATCATGCTGATGTGTCTAGACATACATTAAGCAAAGACTCACAGCTCTTAGGGCTGGAGTGATAGCACAGCGGGGAGGGCGTTTGTCCCATACATGGCCGACCCGGGTTCGTTTCCCAGCATCCCATATGGTTCCCTGAGCACAGCCAGGAGTAATTCCTGAGTGAAGAGCCAGGAGTAACCAACCCCTGTGCATCGCCAGGTGTGATCCCCCCCCCAAAAAAAATAAATAAAGAGACTCATAGCTCTGAAATCCTCCACAACCACCCCAGAGCCTAGTCCCAAGAAAGCACCAGGCAAACGCCAGGAAGTGACCATAAGACCCAACCAGGCGTCTTGGCTCCAAAGGGTCCTGGTGTATGAGGAGGGCTGGGAGCACCGCTCGGTCCAAGGGACTTTGTGGAGCCAGGAACAGGTCACAGACACTGGTTCTGAGGACTGTTGGGCACTGGGCCCTCAGGGGCCTGTTCACAGAAAGGCGTATCAGGGGAGCAACCTTTGCAACTCTTGTGCAAAAACACACCCCACCAACAATTTCCAGTGGAAGAAAGTTCTGGCCAAAGAGCCAAAATGATCAAGGAATTTCACTTTTCCCAAGCCCAGATGAGGCTGGGAGATACTGTGAACAGGGGCTAGAGTGGCATCAAGTGGGGCAAGTGCGCACGCGCGCGCTCGCACACACGAAGACCCTCGTGACATAAACTGGACTCCAGCACTGGATCAGGAATCTAGACATAGAATGCTCTAGGAGGGGCTGGAGCAATGATACAACCGAGAGGGCATTTGCCTTTCATGTGGCCAATACAGGTTCGAGCTCCAACATCCTATAATCCCCCACCCAGTATGACTGATTCCTGAATGCAGAGGAAGGAGTAACCCCTGCCCTGAGCATTCCTGGGTGTGGCCCCAGAACAAACCAAAACAACAACACAAAACCAAACAGAATCTGTGGGAGCAGGCCTCATTCACCAAGTATTAAGGGACAGAGTGAAGACAACAGGGAGGACAGTGGCCTTGAATGCATCCCTGGAACCATCAGAGTGTGGCCTCTTCCTTGCCCCCGAAGAAACAAGGATGCAGGAGATGTGCAAAGATCTTCAGTGGAGTAAGGACGCCGGTATGGGAGAATGAGCGACGAGCTGCCAGCTCCAGCCCCCGCCACTGAGCCTCCCAGAGCTGCAACGGGACGTGCAGACACTGCTCCCCAAGCACATCACCAGTGGGCCCAGGCAGAAGGGGGTGGCACTGAGGTGGGTCTGAGCCTTGGCTGCTGAGCACAGTCCTCCTAAGGCCATCTAGAGATGCCAACGTCATTTTGAGAAGCGAAACCCACTGACAAGTAGAAGAAGCCGCAGCAGATACACCACAGTGTCCCTCCTAAAGGCTTCCAGTGGCATTTGGCCTACCAGTCCAAGGGAAAAATGACTCCACACTCCCCTGAAAACTGACCTTGAAGCAAGCAGAAGAACCTCACATGACTCCACCCCACAGGGACATACTGAAGGAAGAGGGCTAGTGGCACAGGAGGGCCCCCTGCTGCTGCCCTGGGAGCACCAACACCCTATCACCACACACAGCCCTCACACCCCAACTCGCTCCAGGACAACATTCCAGCAGACAGCTGGCGGGCAAGGAGGCAGCTGCATGGGGCCCGGGTCCCTCCACCCTGGGCAGGAAACCATCACTTTTTGTCCCCCAGGGAAGAGGATGACAATCACACAGCAGGACAGCACCGCCAACCTCTCTGGAGTACCAGTGGCTCAAGATTTAAAAACAAACAAACAAAAAAAAAAAACAAAAAAACCAAACTGAGGGACCAGAGAGACAGTACAGTGGGCAGAGCACTTGCTGTGCAACCCAGGTTTAATACCCACTATCCCATAGGGCCCCCTGAGGCCGGTCAGGAATGATTTGCAAGTGCAAAGCCAGGAGTCAGCCCTGAGCAATGCTGGGTATGGTCCAAAACCAAAACTAAACGAGGGGGTCAGAGAGTTTCAAAGAGTTTCAAAACACTTTGCACACACAGGGGCTCGAGTTTGGTACCTGAAACCACCAGGCAAGGCCCAGCCTTGGTACCTGAAAGTATTGTTGACCCCAGCAGGGGATGGCCTAGCATTGCTTGGGAGGCCAAAAACAAAAAGAAAAATGAGTAAAGGTGCAGTGCCAGACCCCCACAGCCCATGACAGCCTGGGATCGACTCTAAAATTGTCCCAGGGGCTGAGGTCCTAGCTCAAGTGGAAGAGCACATGTCCTCCAAGGCCCGAGCACTGCAGGGGACTGTCCCCTCTAACAAATGTGACCAAGTCATTTCCAGGATTTCACAGGAGACACAAGGACCACTGTCACACAGAAATTGGAAGGAATGACCAAAGTCACAACAGATTGGAGCCCCGCAGCGTCCACACCAAAGCAAGCTGATGCCACACAGTGCCTCGCCGCCACTCAGCACAATGGGCCACATGAGTGAAGCCTGCCAAGCGAAAAGCCAGCACAGTGTGTGCCTGTCACATGGTGGGCATCCGGCAAGTCAGGTATACTGGGGCCTTCTGAATCCCAAGTGCCAGGCAGGCACAGGCACAAAGGTCTGTGAAGCATAGCCCCTTCCCACAGCAAAGATCACAGGAGGGGCAACAGAGAAGGGGTATGCACAAACGCCCCAAAGCCATGGACCTCAGGAACAGTGCAGCCGGGGATCCCTCCCGCAGGACCCACACCTTTCACCATGACCTTTCCCCCGATCCCTCGAACATTTGTGACCAGGCAACCCAGAAAGCAGCTGAAGTGTCAGATCCTGTTGTGTCAGCTCTGCCCCAGGGGCAATGAGGGGCCCGTCATGGAATGCCGCCCCTGCCAGGGACAGCACGTCCATCATGCTTTCAGCACTGCCAGCTGGAGGTAGGGGGTGGGGTGGGGGGACGGCGTGTCTCTCCCAGTGGGGGCGGGCTCCAAGTGGAGCCTCGTTTTCCCGAGGGCACACTGAAACCCCGGCTGGTGCACTCGCTTCTCAGCTCCCACAGTGAGGGGTAACTTGGGCGTATGGTTCAATGGTGTTTGCCAACTATGGGGTGCAGCTGCACTGGCCATCGGAAAATCCTGGCATCGCCCCAACAATTATCCCAGAACCAGTGATCACTGCTCTCCACCCGGCTCCTTCGAAGACACCTGCTTTTGGGGTTTGCCCTCCTGGGGCTCCTACGGCTCTGCTCTGCACTGCAGACACCCACCCGGGCCCAGCATGTTTCTGTCAGCCACATTCCTAGGCTCGGTCACATGCGAAGCAATGAGCAAACCGACCACACCATTCCATATGCCCAGAGAAATCCAGTTAGCCTGCACCTCGCCCACACTTGCCACTGTCTGTCTTTTTCATTCCAGTCGCCCTGGACACTTGCCTTACAGTATGGCACACATGATAGCCAGGGGCTGTCCGTGTGCCCATAAGCTGTTTGCGGTACGTTCTAAGAAACCGTATTAGGACCTGACTGGCCTGAGGCCCCTGAGTTGACAGATCAGTCTGTTTCCTATCGGTAACTGGGCTAAACGCTCACATGAAAGAGGATGAACTGCATGGTTCTTCCAGCCCTGTGAGCGGATGCGGCAGGAGGTTTGGTGGCTTGGCTGTTGGTGCACAAACTTCTGGCCAGTGTGTCTTCCTGATGGAGCATTAGAAACCCTCCCTTGAACTCAAGTGACAGTACAGCAGGGAGAGGTCTTGCTTTCTTCGCACATGGCCAATTCAGGTTCAATCCTCGCCACTCCATATAGTGAACTGAGCCCCACCGGTGTGGCCTCAAAGAAAGCCCCCTCCCTAACTCTGGAATTCTCGATTCCCCCCGCCCCCCCACCAGTGTTCTCATGCTGTGCCTATTCCCTTCCTGTCATCCAGAGGGGTCGTGCAGATTTGGACACTCATGCAGTGAGTGACACGGTTGGGCTCACATCTGTCCTCTCACCATGATGCTGCACGGTTTTCTGCTCGTTTTTTCTATCTTCTGTAATCTAATTATTTTAGAATAACATTATGGTGCCGAGGAGCACAGTGGTAGTGTTAGGGATCAAACCCGGGGCCTTGTGCCTGGAAGGCAGCACTCTACCATCCTTTCAAAGCTAATGCCCTAACAGTTGCTCTTGGGATTACATAAGCACCTTAACTTGGGTGATATTAACTGGACTCCGGAGTCCAGCAAGCGGCTTCCCTCCTCACTCACACGGTGACATCAGACACGGCCCAGGGAAGTGCCAATGTAGCTTTGGTTAGCTCTGCCCAGGTAACAGATTGCGTCTCAGTAAGAGAACCTTTAACACACCAACACTGGTGCTGCAATCTGTGTTAATTAGACCAAGTTCGAGTGAGCCACCAGTGGGCCACAATACCGTCAAGGATGAGCCCACACACAGTGCTCTGCTCCCTTCCCTGCACCCGCTTACCCTGAACTTCTCCTGAACAGGCTCCGTGGCCATTTCCACAGGTGTCCTCAGGCTGTGCGACAGAGCTATTGGCATTCCGGGAGCCTGCCTTTGAGGCAGCCACTTGTCACCTTGGCTGGGCAAGCCACTGATGGCCCTCCAGAGAAGCTGGTGGTGCTCACAGCCACACGGGCTAGGTCAGATGTCACTCCTGAGGTGGGCGGGCCCACAGGCCAAACCACAGCTGTGCTCTTGCTGTTCCCATCCCCAAGTCCCGCAGTTTCTAAGCACAAAACGTTCTCAACTGATTTCACATCTCTTCCAGAGTGCCGTGATTTGGGGAATGGTCCTGTCTCGCTCTAGTTATTTGGGAACAACGACCAGAACCACCCCCTCACTCAGACTCTACCTGAAGCTGCCTTTTGGCTGGTTTATTCTGAAAATAAAACAGGCACACACTAGGAGACCAAATCAGAGAAACCGCCGAAAACCGCCGACCTAGGGTGATGGGGGCCTGCAAGGAAACCTACAGCTCACCTGCCGCCTCAGCCTCTGAAGCCCCACGCGGGCAGGACAGTGTGCGCTGAGCCGTCTCAGGTCAGCAGACACTTGAGGAAAAAACAAAGATGATGTCCAAGAGAGCAGTAGACTAAGCTCATGCTTCCATACCCAGAGGCCTGGGTTATGTATCCCCAGCACCACATGGTCCCAGGGGGTGGCAGGGAGCCCTCTCTTACAAACACCAGGAACACTGCCCGTCCGTCTCCAACACGCCCAAACTGGGCTCCAAAAAAAGAGATGACAAGTAGAGTTTCAACAGAGCTAAAGAAATTCCAGAAACAGCACCCCACATGGTAGTGGAAATGAGGCAAATACTGCTGCAATTAGCACAATGGGGAGAGCAGACAGAAGCAGCGCACAGGACAAGCCGCCCAGTTTCACTCCATTCAGGTGCCCAAGAGGATAGCTGCCTGGTGGACATCCTCCGGACAGGTGGCTGGCAGAGTCCATGTGGGCATAACTTCTGTGTGAAACTCTCTCTGAACAAAGGATGCACCACCCTAATTAAGGAACACAGACTCTCGCAGCAAAAATCACCTGAGAGGTGGCACTTCAGTGTTACCAGGCTAGTGACAAGTCGCCACTCCTCACTCCCAAGCTCAGGAGTGGCTGTGGGAATTCCAAGCTACTGCTCCAAGGAGGCAGAGAGATGTAGCAAGGGATGCAGGAGCTGGGCTTGGCTGTTAACAAGCTTATGTAACTCCAGCTCCCAGACCCTAGGCACAGCAACCACTGACCAGTGCAGTGAGACTGACTGGTCCACACCTCCTAGTAAAAGCTCCTTCCTGGTCCCATGGCCCTCCCCCCCCCCGGCGCTGCACCCCACTCACCTGCTGGAAGTGCGCATATCCACGGGCTCATCTGCCTGCCCTTCACCTTGCCTCTCTACTGTGGGCAGCGCAGGGGTCGGGCCTGCCCCGGGCTCAGGTGTCCCCCGCACACTGCCCTCGGCACTTCCGTCCACGGCAGGCGGCAAGCTTCTCTCCATTTTCACTCTCTTGCTCTCCGCGTCGTCCTCCGCTGGGCCCCAGTCCATAGGCCGTTTCTGACTCCGGGTGCAGCATGCCTCTTCGGTCATTCTGAACTTGGGGGAACAAAACGCAACTATTAAACTTGGCCTCTCTGCCACCAGTGCCCTGTCCCCTTGCCGTGTGGTGGTGGCAGGAGAAAAGAGCCACGTCCAGGACATTTGTTCCCTGTCCTGGAAGGCCTGGCAAAAGCAAGGTGTGTGGGAAATGGAGGCCCATGGGCCTTGGGTGGGACAAGGGCTAGGGGCTCTGAGCTGGAGACCCCAAGTCAAGCAGGGAAGCTCCTGGAGCTGTCCCGGCCTGGGGGACCCTATGCCCAGGAGTAGAGTGAGGTGGGCTTAGCTCTGCCTCGTACAGCCTCAGGCAGAGCCCCTCGACTCCCCACAGCGAGGGGCTGGCTCACCTCAGGGGATTGGGGTATGGGGTGCCATGGAGCCCACAGGCTGCAGCCATGTAAGCAGTGGGCTGAGGCCTGGCCCAGCACAGCACCCACACCAGCTACCTGCAGCACACACATATCTCGATTTAAAGAAGAAAGAAGGAAAAAACAGCTGAGTCAGTTTTTGATCCCATGACATCACTGGGCTCCACATGACCCTTCCCAGGATTCAGTCGCAGAGACAAAGCACTTTCCAGAAAACCAGTCTGAACCGGTTCCAGACAACAAGCTGAAGTGTTGTTAACCCTCACTGAGACAGGAGGGACAGCAGGGATGTCTGTCTGCGGGAGGCAGGCGCTGGCATTCCACAGCAGAGGCTGGGACAGGGCCGCTCTTAAAGGGACCTCGACGACCCAGCAGCGGGATGTGAAACAAGAGGGTCTGATGCACAGGGGCTGACCCCAGGGACAGAGAAGAACCGAAAGCTGGGTTGGGGGAGCAGCCCTCAAGTGCCATGCTTGTCCCAAGGCCAACAGAGCCCCAGCCACTGGCATGGGAGCCTGGGAGGGCTGCCCTGATGTGCACTGCCTCACTTGGGGCAGCCCACTTCAGTTTCTTCACCAGAGACCCATATTCTGGGGGTGTGAGCAGCACAGCAGCCAGGTGCCTCCAGTGAACAGCCTCTCTGCAGCCCCCTCAAAGGGTCTAAGCACTGGCTGCAGGGAGGACAGTGGGCCCAGCTCAGGTACCTGATACCACTCCCATATCTGCAGGCTCCCCGCCCTTTCTCCTGGGCAACTCCCTGGGGGAGGAGGGGCTACTTTTCTGCCTTGGGGAAGGAACATTTGCAAGGTTTTTTTTTTTTGTTTGTTTTTGTTTTTTAAGTTTTTGGGCCACAGCTGTGCTCTAGGGTAACTCCTGGCTCTGCGTTCAGGAAGTACTTCTGGCATGCTCAAGAGACCATAAGGGATGCCGGAGATCAAATGCCCTACCTGTTGTACTATCACTCTGGCCCCATATGTCTATAAATCGGGTGATGCTCAGGGGTTACCCCTGGCTCTGCACTCAAGAATTACTCCTGTGGTGTTTGAGGGACTTTATGGGAGGCCAAGGATTGAAGCCGGGTCAGCCGCATAAGCTGCTACTGTACTACTGCTCCGATCCCAAGACTCAGAAATTTTGGCAGTCCCCCAGGACTCAGATCTGAGAGTATCAAGTCCAGCACTTGGGGGGAGTTAGGGCCCTAAAGGCAATTCCCCCGCAGGGAAGGAGCTTCAGGGAATGGGAAGACCCCTCCTCCCACCATGCTGCACGCTGAGCTCTACTTCCCTACTCCAGGGCTCATCCAAACCCAGGCTTCCTAAGACCTTCCTCCTCACCACCCACAGGCCATGACCCAATCATGAAGTCACGGGCACCTTGGGGCTCATTAAGCGAGGCTGGTGGGGGCACATGGTCAGAGGGGCTGAGCAGAGCTGCCCACAGCTCCTGCCTCCTGCTGTGTGTGGCATAGGGCAACTCTCTGAACCCCAACTGGAGCTGTACCCATTCCAGCCTGCAACCGGGGCCAGCCTGAGCACACTATCAACCCTGCTCGGCCAGCAGCTCTGGGGGGCCCCTCCCCCATCGTGAAGTACAAGCACAGCTGGAGGAACAGGAGGGCAGGCTGGGCTGCAAGAAGACTCAGGCCTGGCTGGGGGGGCGTGGGGGGGAATGGACGACCTCCTCCACTCCCAGCCAATCCACGTGCTGGGGCCGGGAGGGGTGAGCAGCACTGCTGCAGTGCAGAGAGGAGAGCAGAGCAGACTGAAGGGCCAGGCCAGATGACCTGCTCAGACTCCCAGAAGGCAAGGCCTGGTGCGTGAGGGCAAAGATTGCTGCCAGCCAACAACTGCTGTTTAGGAGCTGGGTCTTCAGACCTCACAGCTGCCAGAGCCGTGGAGAGGACAAGGCTGAAACTTAGGTGGTCTTGACTCCTAAAATCTCTCTCTAAACACAAATATGCCACAGAACAGTCCCGGGATAGTGCCCCGAACAGAAGGCAACGAGGGTCTTTGGGTGGAACATAAAGTGGCATCATTCATCAACCACCATCTCATTCAGGGCAATTCTACTCTGCACCTGGGCAGAGCCCCTCAGAGGCGCCCAGAAGCTCCGCCAGGGAGGCAACTGCTGCCATACTGGGAGGTGCCATCTTGACAGCAGCACCAACTGCAGGTGACAGTCCTACTCCACGCTGAGTACGCTGAAACAACCCCCCAGGGGTGACAAAAGCAAAGGCAACAAAATGATCTGCTCCGGCTGCGGCACGTCTCTTTTGATGGGGTCGGAATAAATCTGCCTTTCCAAAACATGTCATGGAACAGAGGGGACAGCTGCTCATTTTTTCCTGGGGGAGAACCCCCAAGAGATGCCTCAGAAGTCCTATTAGGGCTCCTGTATGTAGCAAAATTAACCGGAGGAGCAAAGTGACAAACTTCTTTTAACAGACTCATCAATACTTGAAAAATAAAACCTGAACAGCCCCCAAGATTCCTAAATATGAACCCACATACATCCCGAAAGAAGGGAGGGTGTCCCTGCCCGGAAACAGCAGGCAGGCTCAGCCTGGGCTCGGCCTGGGGACACGCAGGTCCTGAGTTAAAGGAGACAGAAGAAAGTGTTAGGGAGGTGACACAGAACTACGCTCTTTGTTCCCCCAGATGCAGGCAAGCTCCCGCCCCAAGGGACCCCACTGCCCTTCCCAGTGACACAGAGGAGGTCACAGTAAAGGGTCCCTAAGCTGTCACCTAGACAGAGGAGACTGCAGACGTGTTGAGGCCTATGGCATCTCTACTTCAGGCCTAGCAACTGGCCATGCAGGGAGCCAGGAGCAGCTTCGACTTCCGGAGGGGATCTGGGTCACTGCCAATGTCCACCCGAGCACTGGTGGGGGACAGCACAGCACTCTACACAGCCCACAAAGGGTTACTGTAACTGGCCAGCTCCATACCATCTGGCGAAAAGTGAGGCCTTAATTAACCCTTCCAGGACCGGCTCCCTTAGAGGAGGGCGTGAGCACTGTCCCCCAGACCGACTGGAAATGGAGAAGGCGGCTTTGGCCAGATGCCAAGAAAGGCCAGGAAAGGCCAGCGAGCCGGCAGTGACCCACCCAGCCTCGGTCTCCCACATTTCTCTCTGCCAGGCTGAAGGACACCCCTATCCCCCCAACACCGACTCCAGTGTGCCCACCTTCCTCAGCCTGCAGCACACTTGGGTGAAACCCCACTCCTCCTTGTGCTCTAAGATGAAAAACAAAATCAGGTCATTTGTCCTGTTTTCCACAGAAGAGCCTGACGCTGCTATCCCCTCCTTGTGATGATACACCCCCATTTTACCATAAACTAGATTTCAAGGCATGTCCCTCCCTAAGAACATGACCCCTCCCCTGGGGAGCAGGAATGCACACCTGTGTGCCAGAGGTGTCCGAATCAACATTCGGGGGGCTGTGAGGAAGGCAGCCCAGCCCCTGTAGAGCTGGGGAAGCACATGCCTCTGTCCCTCTCGTCACCAGCTTTCAGAGCAAGGTGGACCCACCGCGCCTTCCAATGAGGGCCAGAGCTCCTGCTTCCTCTGAGCAAACAAGAGTCGGTGGGAGGGAGATTCACACCTGGGCTCCAACCTGGGACACGGTTCCTAGGCCCACCACACTAGCCACACAATCAGGAGGCTCCAGAGGCATTTCTGAAATCCAAATGCCTAGTCTGAGGGCTTAGATGGGGGAGGAGGGGAGGGGCTGGGGAATGGGGCACACCTGGCAGGGCTTGAGGCTCAATCAGGGACCACACCTTGGTTTACATACAACCATTTTTGACAGACTGTGGCATCATCTTGAGACCTGTTGTTACTGGAGCAAGTAATGAGCAAATTCCCGAAGGGGTTCTGACCCCAAGAATATGTGGAAAATTCCACCCCACAGCATGGAATGAAGAAACGACTCAACCCCCCCAGCCTTATGCCCCATACGGACCCTCAGCATTTGGCAGAGGCCCTGTGAGCATTGTGTACCTTGCCCGGTGAGTTTCAGGGAACCAGACCCTGCAGCTCAACAGGCTGCCAGACCCCGGGGGTACGCCCCACGACAGCCAGCAACGCAGGTGTGCATTCAATCCCTAGCACCAAAAATTAATATGAAGCCAGATAGACAGTACATAGGGTTATGGCACAAGCCTTGCACAAAGCTGACCCAGTTTCAACCCTTGGCATCACATGGTTACCCAGACATCACCAGGAGTAGCTGTGGAGAACCCTAAGCACCAAGCACTGCCGGGGTAGCCCGAGAATCCCCATCACCCCAGGACCATGCAGCATCCTCAGACCTGAGCAATGCACACCAGCCCAACTGGTCAAATTGCCCAGAGTGACCCCCAGGTGTAGAGGGGACCACCTGGGAGGCAGATATTAATTTATTAGATGGTAAAGTCAACAAATTCTATTTCAATCAAAAGCCTTTAAAAAAAAAAACCGCACAAGTTTCTGTGACACCATGGCAGAAACTGTTTCACAGATGTGGACCTCCTGACAGCTCATCCACTTGGTCATACCTACAGCATCTTTCTGCCACAGGAAGAGATGGAAGAGAAATGCACCCACTTGGTCTGTACGAAGCAAACCCCCTAACAGCCGCTGGACAAAGGCAGGGAGCAGGCCACTTGGACCACTCCTCCCATCAGCCAGCACGAGTGATTGGAGAGCAAGGACAGTCAGTAGAAGACAAGCCTGAAAGCCCCATGGAGCCAGCACAGCATGCAATCCTGAAGGGCCCCCACACTGAAAAGGGTCCCAGGCATTGGTCGATACATCAGAGTCATACTCCACACCCCACCCAAGCACTCACCTGGCTTCTGGGCATGGGGCGCTGGTCCTACCAGCCGGCCATGGCTGCAGCTATGTCAAAAGGCAACTTGTGGCCACGTGCTGGCCAACCTGGAGGGAAGGACAGAGAGAAGCCCTGAGTGCCCTGGGAAAGACGCAAACGCCCGGCAACTTTACAGTCTCCAACCCCCAACGTCTGAGGTTTTATCCAGAGCTTTGCCTCTGCTGCCTTTCACTGGGATAACAGCAACTTCAACCTACATCTAATAAATGAACCAAACCCAATCTTCGTGATGTACACGGTAACAGACAGGTCACCACACACACAAAAAGAATTTCAAGACTGTCACTGGGACCTGAATCCTAGGGACCGTGTGATCACTGAGTCTCAGACCATCTGAGGGGTAGGGACAGGATCAGTGGCATTCATAAGCACCCCGGATCACTCGAGCGCCAGGACAGAGAAGTTGAGGGTGCCACTTACAGGGACAGAGGGAGCTTCAGACTTACATCCAGAGAAACTGAGGCCCAAATACTGGGACCCCTCAAGGGGTTCAGAGAGTGTGTAGCCCAATTTCCCTCCCCTGAGACTGACTTCCATCTTGGTACCAAGGGAGAAACTGTCACCCCAGCCACACTGAGCCCCCGGAGGTTTGCCCTGAGGCTTACCAAATGCAGTCAGTAGCACCTCTGTTGTCATTCTTGCCCCACATGACTGCCAGGAGCTGCTCTGATACCCAACCTTTATTTTTAAACTGGGCTCACTGCAATTCACAGCTCATGGAAGGTGAGAGAAACACCCCCACATGGAACTTGCAAAATAAGTGAAGAGAGAACTCTCTGGAAAGACTCTGGCACCAGGGAGCACAGGGCACAACCCTCCTGCTGCGTAGCACCCCCACACCCAGTTCCCAGGAAGGACCTTTCTGGCCTCCCTGTGACCCCTCAGGGCTGCAAACCACAGATCAGGTGCTTCCAGGGTCCGGGGCTCCCGGAGGAGGCCAAGAGTGGCCGGGCCTGGGCTCGTCCCTGTGCCTGCTTGCTCCAGGATCAGGGTCAACATCCCTTTAGGACAAGCTCATCCATAAGAGCACACGGGAAACACTGGGGGACAAAGCAGGTTTTAGAAACCATCCAGGGGCAGGGATGCAGCTCGGTGGCAGGGACATGTCTTACACTCGAGTTCTGGGTTCAGTCCCAGATACGAGGCCGGAGCTCCAGGACCATGGGGAAGGCAACTCCTTGTACGTGGCCGACCTAGGTTTGGTCCCCGATTACCCCCATATGCTTCCCTGAGCCCCGTCAGAAGTAATACCTGAGCACAAAACCAGGAGCAAGTCCTGAGTAATGCTGGGAGGGGAGCATGGCTGAGAAGCCCACTGCTCTTGTCACCGCCCCCCCGGACGGGGCCTATTCCCAGCCCCAGGTGAGGCAGTATCGAGTAACCTGTGAGCACACAATTACCGTCGCAGACTCCCCTGCTCCCCTGATAAATCATTACAATGTGGCTTTGACCCTGCACCTGGGTACCCCACTTACCCACACCCCTTTTGCCAGGTGAAGGAGAAGGCAACCCTAACATCATGAAATCTAGTCTCCACACTTGGGCAACACTGTCCTTCATTACTTCATTCTCAAGCTTTGGTGGGGGGGGGGGGGGGTGCCCTTAACTTGAAGAGAGAAGTCAGACACCCAGACACTCCACTGTGGGGGAGCCCTGGTTCCATGGAGCGTCAACACCTGAGCCCCAACACTGACCCCCACACGCAGGGCCCAACCTCATCCTGAGGGCATGATTGGAGGCCCAAATAAACTACTGTCCACACCAACCCCACACCCTGGGGCATGTGCGCACGCAGGGATGACACCGAGTGTAGCTGCTGTGCCAACAGGGAGGTGACAGACCCCAAGCCCCTCAGCTCCCTAAAGCAGGGAACCCGAGCGCTACAGGCAAATGTGGAGTCACTGGCAGCCCAGGGGACAAGGCCCTACTCTCCCCTGAGCCCAACACATCATTAACCCTGGGTCCCCATGGAGGGAGAGTGTGACTCGGCAGGCGAGGAAAGCGAGGCACCGGCCCCACAAGGGCCAAGGAGCCAGTGGCAAGGCTGGCCACACAAGCCCGTCCTTGGCAACCAGAGCCCAAGAGCACCCTCCAGGCCCGGGTCAGCCTGCAGTACCCCAACCACAGCCACCAAGACATCCCAGAGGATGGAGTGGCCCCTCTGTGCACTTCTCCCCAACCCACACATCTTGCCCCAAAAGTCTTCAAGCCCTTCCTGCTGCAGCCCAGGAGACTGAGAAGGCACGTGGGGGCAGCAGACAGGCAAACACAGCCCCAGCAGGCCAGGAACGAGCAGTCCTTCCCCTCCCGTAGCTGAGTCCCCTTTGGCCAGCCAGGACCACAGTATCCAGCTAGCTGGGCATGGAGCAGAAAGGGCTCCTGCTTGGGCCTTATCCAGGCCAGGGGGAAGAGGAGGAAATGGCTTCCATGGATTATAAATACCCAAGCACTGTGTTTGCACCACAGACTTAAAGCAAAAACCTGACAATATAAACGCAAACTGATCCTTAATTAGAACAGCAAGTCAAGGCCAGGAAGCTGCAGTGCAGCGAGAGAAGAGGTGAGGCCCCAGCCCCCCACTCCACCTCCACCCCAGAGTGTCCCCCTGGGGCGCCTCCATCCCGCCGCACTGCAGTCCGGAGAAAGGGGCTCGGTGGTGACAAGGCCTCTCCTTTGAGATCAGAGACCCAGTCCTGTGGACCCCCCATCCCGGGGCCGGACTCCACCAAACCTCCCAGACACATGGGCCCTTGTCGGAGTCAAGGAGGGCCACTTCATTTCCGACTTCCCCTCGTCAAGTCCAGTCAGTCCAGGTCAGGGATACAGGGCAGCCCTGCAATGACCAGCAAGCCCCTCAAGTACTCGTGCTGGGAATATGAATCCCATGTGACTGCACATCACAGTTCCCACCTGTGCTCCCAGCTGCCCATCCCACCACTGTCCAGACCCTTAGGTCCCTGTGTCGACAAGAGCAGAGGAGGGAGCGTAGGGTTTGGTCTGGGCAAAAAAACGCTCTGAACCTCAGGTACCCAGCAGTGTTTCTCTCTCCAGGAACACCCCCACATTCTTAGTAGGGTCTCAGACTGCCCAGCCCAGGAAAGCACCTCTGCCTGCTGCTGTGCCAGACCCCACAGTGCCCCGGACACTTTCTTTGGACCCCAAAGTCCCAAGAGTCTTGTGTCACCCTCTTCCAGGTTCCAGCTCACTGGGGATAAAAGCCACACTCGGAACTCCCAGACCCCAATGCTCCCAAGATGATGCTACAATGAGCCTTCTAGAACCATACCCCCTTTCCAAGGCCTCCAGCATCTGGGGGTGCTGAATGAGGGGGCACCTATTCCTCCCCCTCAAGGCCACAGGGCAGTGGGATTCTCACCAGAGAAATGCTCACACCTCACTGGCACTGAGCACCATCTCCCCAATTTTCCTCTGCCCCAGCTGGGAACTGCTGACCCCCTCTTCCCACCCTGTGTCCTTCTTGTCTCTCAAAAGAGGACAACTCTTAGGCCAGAGGATGGTACAGTGGGTAAGGTGCTTGCCAGGCATATGGCTGACCCAGGTTCAATCAAGGGTCCCTTGAGCATCTGACAGGAGTGATTCCCAGGTGCAGAGTCAGGGGTAACTCATCACTGCAAGGTGTGGCCCAAAAGCCAAAATAAATGAGACGACTCTAGGGACAGTCCCCTGCCCCTGAGCCAGGTCACACTGGTAGAGCCCCTCTGATCTACCACTCAGCAACAACGTGCTCAAGGTCCAGGAACACCAAAAACTTGAACCCTTTGATGTACATCATAACAGCCAAGTATAGTGGGGGCAGGGGAGTTCCTGGGGAGCACAGGCTAGACACACTGGCCCAGGTGTGTTGGGACTGCTGTGCTGACCAAATGAACCGCAGAAAAGGGCCCTGCAGAAGCAGAAGGATTAGCAGAGATTGGACTGGCCCAATGCCAGTCTGGGATGGTCTGGAGTCCCCTGACCCATCTTCCCCAGGACACGCCACCCCTACTCACCCAGGAGGAGCCAGGCCAGACCCACTTCCACAGGAACCTCCCACAGGGCCCCTCACACCCAGCTGACCCCAAAAGCATAGAGCCAGCAACCACAGGCTCCCGCACCACCTTGTCAGCAGCTCTACTATGTCTCCCGGATGAGGGACTATCTGCGGCGGCCCCCTTCCACCATCGGACAGATGAGGGTATACCTGTGGGAACCGTGGTGCAGGGGCAGAGACCTCCTAAAATGAGGACACGGGCACCAGGACAGCTGGCACTCCACAAGCCAACCCACCAACAGGTGCATATGGGAATGAGGATACACACCGTCCAACGCCCAAACCTGCCGCTGGCCTGCACTGGCTGCCACATCCAGTCCAGCCTCCAATGCTCAAGGCAAAGTTCCCAACGCTGGCTTCAAATCCACACTCTGGGGGCTGGAGTGATACCACAGCGGGTAGGGCGTTTGCCTTGCACGCGGCCGACCCGGGTTCAATTCCCAGCATCCCATATGGTCCCCTGAGCACCACCAGGAGTAATTCCTGAGTGCAGAGCCAGGAATAACCCTGTGCATCGCCAGGTGTGACTCAAAAACCAAATAAATAAATAAATAAATAAATAAAAAGAGCAAATCCACATTCTGACTCAACTCCTGTACTCTGGGAGAGGGGGGAGCTTCTCCAAGGTGCCCCCACAGAGTAGCCTTCCCAGTCGGCCTGTAGCACGCAAACAAAGACCTGGCCCAGAGGAGAAAAAGCCCAAAAGAACCCACCTGGGAGTTTCGAGTTGGACCAGAGGCTCAGGAAAGGGTCAGGGAAGGGGTGGGGTTTACCAGCCCACAGCCAGAGCTGACCCATTGTGCCTCAGGTAAGAAAGGGGCCGCCATAAGCTGGTCCTTTCCAGGACAAGAAAGCCAATGTATCCAATCCACAGCTCCTGAGCACCCAAGTAAGAGGGACACTGGGCCATCCAGCCACCAGCCTGCAGCAGGAGGCCAGGCTACAGATGGCATTTGCCTTATCCTCAGGGAGGATCCAGCACACAGGCGGGGTGTC